ATATTGTATTCTTTGACCAATAATACAATTAAAATAAATAAGTATTGTTTATACTAAATTTATTTATAATTGGCTTATACATTTTTTTAATGAATTTTTACAATTAAGTTTCCTTGACAATTAGATGTAAATGTTGATTTTATCGACATTTCAGTTCACTTCGTTTTTTCCCGTGAAAAATAAACTATCGTCTTGTGTAATTATTAAGATTTATTTAATTAGTTATTGATATGGCAAGTGAAAAAAATATTTTTGGTCAAACAAATGAATCAAACTTACATAAGGTCATACGCAGAGTTGAAGAAATATGGAATCGTCGTTTCATGCATTCCAATTGTGTTTTAAATAATACAAATAAAGGACAAATATCAAAAAAGTCAACTAAAGATGGAAGAATTATCTGTAAACACTGTTAAGATTAATAATTAAACTAACTATTTCGAATAGAGAAAAAGTTTTTTAATATAAAATATAAGAAAAATTAATAATAAGTTCTCTTATTCATATATAACAATAATTCAGTCGCTTTACTTTAATTTAACTATTTTAATATTAAAAACCTTTTTCGAAATTGATTATTTAATTAATAATTATTAAAATTATATTCAATTTGCAGCAATTATTAATAAAAATATTTATCCTATAAAAAATTCCATTATTCCAAAAAAACGCACGTATCGAAAAACGAATAAAAATGATAAAATTATTCCAGAAAAATTGGTAACTATAATTATATTAATATATTTATTCGATTTAGCTATGTTATTGGGGTTTGTCTGATTCAAAAATATAAAATAAACTATCAACCCCCTTAATATAAATGCGGTAACATAATGTTTAATATTATTCTGCTATTTTTTCTATTAGATTTTTATGGGAAATTCAATTTTTATCGAAGATAATAATATAATATTAAGTATAGTTTATTTGTTTATTTAAATATCTCTTTGGTTACCTAGAATATGATGCAGCAAAGAGAATTCGGAACACTTTTTCAGAATGAAAAATCTGAAAAATATAAAAATGAAATTTTAAATTCAACAGAAAAAAAAAATATAGCAATTTCAAAAGACAATCCGCTATTAATATCAGCTGATTTGTTAGAAAAGGTATATTTTATTATGCTTTATTTCAATAAAAAGATTTTAGGGTATACCCTAAACCATTTTTTGGACTTAAAGCAGATTTCTTAAATAAATTTATTATATAATTAAATTTTTATTATCCGTTAAGAGTTTTCATAAGAAAAATTTGGAACGCAAAAAATCCGAAATAAAAAAACAATTTTTTGAGATATCTTCTAATACTACTGCTCGACCAAATTTAAAAAGAAATTCATCCGAAGAAGATGAAAAAGTCATAAAAAGTATACAACTTTTAAAATATAATTAATTTTTAAAAAATATGAAGTTTTGATTTTTGAAACAAATATGTAATATTTTTAAACATAAATTATTTTAGAGCCAAAAGTTAGTTCTAATCCTTTGACCTTAAATACGCCGAATGACGTAAATTTACTTGCTCTGTCCACTATTGAAGTAATAAAAGTACCAGAAAAAAAAAAAGGTAATTAGTTATTTAATCTATTTATTTTATGTAAAATTAAATAAAAAAAGATTATTTATTAAACACAATTAATTATAATAATACGAGTTAAATTAATATAACTTCTGCAGAGGCGTGTCATTAAGGGGGTCCATGGACGTTTTAAACAAAAGTAATTATACGTGTTTAATTTCATATTCCAAAACCTTAAATAAACCTAAATAATAGTAAACTGTTCAACAAAGTCTTTTATTAATTTTATGAAAAATGTTTAAATATGGTTACACTTGCAGAAGTAACGCAAGATCAGAACACAAAATCTCTCGATCAGTATAATGCACCTTCATTTAAATCGGCCACATCTTGGTATACTTCAGACACAATTAATGAGTACATTAAAATGATAGTAAAACGGTCAGAAGGTGAAGTTTATGCAGTTGTCACTGATTTTATTGTAGCGTATCTTCGAGGAGGTTATCCAGCTGTAAGAAGATGGATAAAAAAAGATATTCACACAATAAAATTACTTTTTGTGCCCATGAATGTATATGAGAGTCATTGGATATTGACAGTGGTTAATATACCTGAAAAGACTGTGACATCATATGATAGTCTTAAGTCGTATGAGGGTCCCTATCCAATGGTATTAAAAAATTTCTTAATTGAATGGGAGATGGACAAAAAAGGAAAAGCTTCTACATGGACATTACAAATAGGCGAGACATCTCGCCAAACCAATGGACATGATTGTGGGCCATTTACTGCTGAGCTAGCAGAAAAAATGTCTCGAAGAGATACAACACCAATAAATGCAAATGTTATGCCTTTTATAAGATTAAGACACAAAAATGAAATTATTGCTGGCGAGCTATTCAATTAATATTTTTATGAATGAAACTTTATTTTTGTATTTTATATCAATTTTCTTAATATTCACTATAAATTGAAATTTTTATTTGTATACCACCAAACATTTTTTTACTTTTTCTATGTTTAATTGTTGTTTTGTTATTTTNTTTTTACTTTTTCTATGTTTAATTGTTGTTTAATTTATCTTAACTGGAATAATTTAATGTTCTTGTTATGTGAATATACAAATATTATAATATACAGTTATGGATACAATTAAGTTAAAAAGTCAGTCAATTATAAATTTTTAAATTAACAAGCGTATCTACTATCTTAACAACTTAATTTTAATTTTACTAAATGACGATTCATAAAGAATTTCATAACTTTTGTTTATTTTTTAAATACTATTTTAATTATAAAAAACTCTTTTCTGTATTTTTTATGAATGCGGTATATTGAATAGGGGTAACTAAACTTATTTGTTTATAATTCTCTAAACTGATAAACTATAATATAAATTCAAAAATGAACTACAAGTTCAGAATATTTCCGTTGTTACTATATTTTTGCTACGGGTATTTTTGTTATCTAAATGACCCAATGAAATCCAAATAATTTCTAGAAGTCTCTGATAAAATGTAGATAAATACGTGTCGTCGAATCCTATCAAATTATCATCAATTTTGTTATTTATTTAAAATACCATTTATTTTATAGTATATTATAAAAAAAGTTAATACCAATATATTAGGCATTTTTTTTAAGTCGGAGGTGTCCAGACATGGAGGACATCCCCCCAAAATACGCCACTGACAATATGATTATACTTTTACAAGAATCACGCGAGACATAGTTACTCAACAGCCTATATATTGATTTAAATGAAATAACATGTATAGATTTATAGTTTAAATTAACTAGAAGTAATTGTAACTGTACTTGAGCTTTCTTGGCGTAATTCATTAGTAAATAAATAAATTACAAAGTAAGATGTTGATTAACATTTTACTTTGGTATACATGTTTCAATAAAATGTACATTTTTTTTTAAAGTTATTTTTATTGAAACATGGTTATAAAATTATTAAATAATAATAAACTTTATTCAAAAACTCAAATTATAATATAGAATATAAAGGCAATGGCAAATTAATCCTAAAATGAAATTAATATAAATTCATTCTATGTGATATTAGTTACTTAATTTCACAAAGAAATAATTTATTATAATTAACATTATTAAGTNATTTCACAAAGAAATAATTTATTATAATTAACATTATTAAGTTATAAACAGAATATCGTTATTATAGTAATGTTTAACATTATTATATTTTGTATACAAAATACATGTATGCACGTGTAAATTACATGTCTGAACACATTGTGTACTCAAAATCCATAAACGATGTGTATGCATTATTTGATATAAGCAATCTTGTTATTATCTAAAATCAGGTAATTTACATAAAACTACTCGTATACCTAAAACACATGTAACTTTTACGTTCAATTAATTTGCATTTAATTTCAACGTGAATTTTATACTTTACTCGAAAATAAATGAACATACCTAAACTAAATGTAAATTCTAGTCTATTACAATTAAATTTGAATTTACACTCATTTAAGATGCAGTTGAATATGTAACATATATACGAAATATGTACTAATTATACTCGTTTATTATGAGCATATTTCAAGTTAATTCGTTACGTATACAAATATACCAAATACGATTCAAACGCTTTCGGCGAATATATGTTTAGTGTTTACTAGACATGTGAAAGAACGTTTAGTAAAAGAAATTTTGTAAAAAGTAAATCGAGGAATAAACTGATCACAAACACTGTATCTGAAACCAGTGTTAAATCCAAATATGCATCAGGGGAACTAGAGAACCTTGGTATTTTGATAGCACCATCATTGAAATTTAAATAATTTTCATGTATTGATTCGTTCGATTCAGTTCACTAAAAAGAATCGATTCAATGAATTAAGAACTGATAACCAAAATGAATTATTAACACGCTTAACATCATGTAGATTCGTAGATCAATTTTTGTTTAATTACATGTAAATGATCAGGTATATACTCGTGAATTTTATTAAGATAGATTATTCATTTTTTATTAGTCTGCAGTGTATTTATTTAAAAAATGAGATCCTAGACAATACTTAAGTCTCATCACAGCAACTTGGTCTAAGTTGATGTAGGTAAATTTTTTTCTTTTCATTACGTGGTCTTGTTTTTACATAAATAATATTTTTCAAAATTGATATGACTTTGACTATAAAATGTATAGTCAAAGTCATTAAGTTTATAACACTCCTAAGTTAAGTTAGTGCAGTTGTAAGAGGTATTGTATCCAATACCTCTTCACACATTGGAGAGGGGGCTTAAAAATAAGTATCTCCAAAATTTCAAAAAAAAAAATTCATGCCCTTCCAAAAATTTTAATTTAAGTTGCGCCAAAGCTGATCAAATATTATTAAATACAAGAAGATATAAAACGCAAAACACAGACGGCTCAATCAAGATAAATCTAAAATCTAAAATCTAAAATATATACGTATACAAAAATGAAGGGGTACCTTTTTATCATGTTACAAAGTATTTTAATTTTTGGGTTTATAACCGGTATTATTTTAGCATCTAATGATGATATCATAANGTTTATAACCGATATTATTTTAGCATCTAATGATGATATCATAAACCAAAATTTTGCTGATAAATATAGGCTTCTCAATCATTCATTATTTGAAAATGTTATACCAGTTTATAAGTATCAATGCTTACGTACTGGAATTACTATTGTATTTGGTGACATTGATGGACCTCTTGTAAATGGATATTTCACTTTGGGTAAATTAATTTAATAAGTTATATTTTNATGGATAAATTAATTTAATAAGTTATATTTTGACATAAAAATGATTTATTTTATGAAATTTTTAGCCACAGAAACCCATGATGATGATNAATATTTCACTATGGGTAAATTAATTTAATAAGTTATATTTTGACATAAAAATGATTTATTTTATGAAATTTTTAGCCACAGAAACCCATGATGATGATGGTATTCCACATACATTAGAGCATTTAATATTTCTTGGATCGGAAGATTATCCTTACAAAGGAGTTATTCATTTAATGTCAAATCGTTGTTTTGCAATAGGAATCGAAGGCTATACAAGTAATTTATTAAAAAACTTATACAAGTATTGCCTAGATTCTAATTATTAATATTTTATTTTATAGAAGTGGATCATACTTGTTTCAAAGTCAACACAGCCGGGAGTGAAGGATTTCTTTCATTGTTTCCAATTTATCTTGATCACATTTTATATCCTACTTTGAATGTAAAATTTTTTTAGTTATTTTTTTTACACACTCTAGGTAATTATTTAAAAAATGTCAATAATATTCTACAAATTTTTAGGATGCTGATTTTATCACAGAAGTTCATCGTGTAACTTCAGAAGGTAAAGATGCTGGTGTTGTTTATTGTGAAATTCAAGGACGTGAAAACACTGCATATGATATTCTATCTTATTCGTTGCTTAAAAAAATATATCCTGGTAAATGTGGCTACAAATCAGTATGTGCAGGAACTATGAAAAATTTAAGAGAGTCAACTACTAATGAAAAAGTAAAAAGATTATTATTAAAACTGTGTATAATATAATAAACAATAATAAAGTATTGCTAATAAATTTAATATGTAAGATTCGTAAATACCATCAAGCATATTACCGGCCTGAAAATCTGTTACTTCTAGTTACTGGAAAAGTAGACCATTCTTCTTTTTTTAATAGTTTAGAACCAGTTATTCAAAAGATTTTATCAAAAGTAATGAAATTTTTATTTACTTTTATTATCAATGAAGATTTAATTCTAAATATTAAAAATAAAGGGAAGCCGTGCAGAATATGTAAAACCCTGGCAAAGCCCTGTAGATCCTTTAACAGAATCTTCAAATTATGTAGAACTATTTCCATGTGACGAAGAGACCAATGGTTATATCAATATAGGTTGGAGAGGCCCAGTTGGGTCAACTTATTCATACAAGTATTTAAATTATTTAATACTATGTATAATATTATAAAATGGCTCATATCTAATTTATATACTTATAACTTTTAATTCAATTATCATATAACTGTAATTTAGTTTTAAACAATTATAGCATTATTATACTATTTCAAAACAATTTTTTTATTATTTTTCTCTAATAAGAAGAAAAGTGAAAAAATAAAGTACAGCAGAGATTCAGTAGTGTGGGATTATTACATTTTTAAATAAATAATGATTGATATCTGAACGTGATGATAATCACTTAAATAAAATTCTTTGTTAAGTATTTGATGTATTCAAAAAAAAGTATTCATCTATTTACGTATCTTTTACAAAAATTACATTATTATTTATCGTAATTATTTCAAAGATTACAAAACGACCTTTTTATAATCGTCTAGTAAAAAAAAAACCTTAAATTTGGTTTAATTTTGAATGATGCTAACACGGAACCGTATTTCCCTCAGCCGCAGACACGTTATCAATTTAAGTAAAAGTTTATCGGGTTTGAATCATAAGTGCTCGGTGGCCTAGTGATAAGGTTTATCTCTACGGCACCTTAGGTCGTGGGTTCTAATCCTGAACCGTACCTCTCTTTTTCACATAATTTCCAGTACACTTTCTACAACCGACCGTCAAATCCCGGCGGCCATGATAATATCTAATGTTAAAATCGGTTAATTATGATAAATATTCTATGATTTTTTCCTTTAATGCCCATTGTAGCGACCATGGAACGATCGAGAATCTTCGCGACAAATAAGCAACACAAAATGCATATAGAGCGAATATTCTCGATCGTCTCATAAAAGAATATTCTAAAACACACTATAAAACGGCGCGACATCAGTCAATCAACCAATCGGTCATAAGTTAGTTAGTTTGCCTCATGTAGAAAGTTAGTACACGTAGTGCGTGCATATATTGTAAATATTCTAAAAGTGTTTAAATAATAAACTGTCTATCATTTTCCTCTTTTTTACGTGAATCGATGTTTTTATTTATTGTTTAATGAATACGCGAAACACCAAACCCATCAACTCCTAGATAATTTTTCTTTTTTTATCTTAAAGTTCATTGTATTAGTTTTAATTTAATGTAGGGTTTTTAAAATATTATCAAAAACTGAATAGATAAAAATTTTGATATGATTTATTGGGTTGTGTATCGTCAAACGCTACTAGTTCATAGAAATATGATAAACCTTATTAATTAAGACCCACTAAGACTCTATGTTTTTTGAAAATATTTACATACTTTATTTTTTTAATCGGTCCTTACCTCTTATATATATATATATAAATAAAACTTTTTCAACTTTTAAAAATGTTCCAGAAATACTGCAAGCTTCAAATATATGTTAAATCAAAACTTATATTACATGTTATAAGTTAAAAAGAATTTGTCCTGATAACTTGTCTATCATATGTTAGGCTCCCGAATTTAAACAATAAATGTTATTTTATCTAAAAACATCACTCGTTTTGTGTAGCTATAATTGCCTACATTAATTTTTTTGTTAATTATTTATGCACATATAAGTTAAAAAAAATAATTTAGGCTTAGTTATAAATATTTTCAGGGAGAATTTTTACAACATTTAATGTCAATCTAATATATATATTAATAGGAAAGAGGCTGCCCTTTCCAAAAACATTGTTCTAACTACCACTGGCTTATGATAAACTGAGGTAACGAAATACAAAGTGATTTTCCACTATATCTATTATTATCCACTTGATTTCTTTTAAAATAATAATCATGTTAAGAAAATCATTTTTGATGTTTTTTGGTTTAAAACTATTAATTTTCAGTCCGACTGTGCACCTAAATCATTTTTTTTTAAGACGAAACTACTGATGCGGTAAGAATTCTGAAATTCTATCTGAATTCAGTTTCAAGTTACTTAAGTACCGGTAAGAATACTTTTGAAAAAGAATACTATTGATCGTATTCTGTAATTGTACAACTTTGCTTAATTGTGATATTCATTTTTTTTTCAAACTTTAAAAATCAATACTTATNTTAAAATTTCAACTCGTTCAACGTGATCACTTATTTAGAAAAAAATTTAAAAATGTAACCTGTAATTAAGGGTGAAAAGAATTATAATTTCAGAAAAGTAGCCATACTTAAGTGACATGAAACTGAATTCACGACCATTTTCAAAATTATGATCGCACCAATAGTTTCGTCGTTCTAATGAAACAAAAACTGGTTGTTTTTGACAATAAAGTGGTTGGTACACAAACGCATTAACATAGTCTAAGAATGCAAAAATTATTTGAAAAAAAATTACAATGTCAATTGTACCAAAATTTATAGGAGTTGTCAATTTGATTTGTTCAACCTGTATATAAATGTATAGACTTCAATTTAAAATATTATACTATAAAAAATTTTGATGTTGCAAGATTAAATAATCAAACATCTATAATTAAAGAATCATATAAACAATAAAACCACTCACAGTTTCAATAAAATAAAACTGTATATTTTTTAAATATTAATTATACATTTTTTTATAGTTATATAGCTTGCAAGTTGCTTTTAAATTATTTAACTAGTAAGACAATGTCGATTGCGTTTGTTCAAACATCTGACCCATTATGTACATCGGTAAAAATAATACGAATTTTGATTTTGTTCAATTTATTATTCTTAGTGAATTATTGTTTATTTATTTCAAGGTATCTTACCGTATTAGTAATAATTTAAATCCATCCATAGTTCTTGTATTTAATGATGTACCAATTAAAAAATTAAATGAAGAAGAAATACCATTAAAATTGAATAAAGTATTGGAAAAACTTATTGATGATGATGATTATTTAGACCTACAAAGACTGAGAACATATATTGAAACAGATAAGCTTTCTAGGCTAAGAAATCTAGAAACTAATCCCCGTTTTACTTTATCAAATTTAATAATTTTTGACTTTTTATATGGAAAGAGTCAATCGGATGTAAGTACAATTAAAGACACATTACAAAAATGAAATTTATTTTGACTGCATAATTTTATATAATTTTAGTTAGATGAAATATTGAACACAGTTAGTATTTTGAATAAACTTCTCATAGAACATATCTCGTTTTGGAAAGGGATTTTAACTGATTATTTTATAAACAATCATAAAGTAGTTGTAAGAGGAATTCCATCCAAAAAAAAAACAACATGAACTAGCTAATGAAGAAATTCAAAGAGTATCACAACGCAAAAAAGATTTAGGGAAAGATGGTTTAAAATTAAAAGCTATTGAACTACAGAATGCCAAAATAGAATCTGAAGTAATATAAAAATAATTAAATAATAAATATTTGTATAATAATTATCATTTATGATGTAATAGTCCTAAACTAGCAATGAATAATGTTTGTGCAAAATATTTGATTTTCTTAATCATATATATATATATATATATTAACACCTCAATCAACTTATGGATTCATTAATTTCAGAAAAAAATCCCCAGTAAAATCTTTACGTCAGTTAAAATTCCTAATGTTGAATTCATTCAGTATTTAACTCATGATACTTTTTCATCAAATTCAATAAATCAACATAGTTTATTCAAAACTTCTGAAGTTCCATTATTTGTTGAAATAGACCATGTTAAAAGTAATTTTGTTTACGTAAGTAAAAAAAAATATGATATTTTTTAAGTACTTGTAAGACTTACTAATTATGTTGTTCTATAATAATTATTTTCAGCTGAGTGCATTTATCAACACTAAAGATTTGGCATTGAATCTTAGAAACTACTTACCCCTTTTTCTTGATTTGATAATATATAATAATGTAATACGAAATGGTGTGGAAATTGATTATAGGGAATTAGAAAAAGATGTACTCTCAACAGAAGCATCTATTGGAATTGGTTCACGATCGTTTTCATTGGGATATTTTTCCTCTGTCATACTTTTATCACTTAATGTATGTTTTAATGTCATAGAGTGTTTACATTATTTTAATAAAAAAATAATAATTTATTTATCATAATATATATATTTTACAATTTTATTATAATATTTATTTTATTATACTAGGTTACACTAAGCATAATAAAAAAAATCTTAATTAAATATGGTTCTGCAAATTATTAACATAATCGAAAAATCGTTATCATATTAAATATAATAATTAATTGATTGTTAAATATTTTTAAATAATTGATGTTTGAAACTTTAAACTCTTATTAAATGTTTTAATTGAATAGGTCGAACTAAAAAAATATCATAAAGGCATCAACTGGCTTCATGATTTTCTTCATAATATAGTCATTTCTAAACATTGGTTTTCTATAAATTTGTCAAGAAAGATAAATGAAGTTTCTAGTTTTCGTAGAAATGGAATCCATATGTTAAATCAAATTTTAATAAATATGATGCACAAACAAGGTAACTATTGAAATATAAAATTATATTTTCAATTAAGCAAATAATTTAACAAGAATTTTAGTGAAATTTGAGTCATAGAAATCGTAAAATTACAAATATACAAATTATGAAGTTTAATAGATTCGTATTGAATCGTTTTTTACGATAGTGATGTTAATCACTATTAGATATCATCTATTTTGTAAGTCTTAAAAGACGTAGAAGTTAACAACCCAACCGTTCATTGTGCTGCAACACTACTATCCTTGGTTTTTTTTCTCTAAAAGTTAATATGATAATTTAATATTTTTGACTATAACTTCGTTTACGACCACGTGTCCTCTTTAAAACGGAATTATCCCTTTTTTGATAATCATGTCCCGTTATCCCGAAAAATACAAACAGGACATTTTAACTATTTATAACATATTTTATAGTTTTAACTATTTATAGTTTTCGTAAAATAAGGGTCGAGTGGTCTGTAATGACAAACAATAAAATTGGCGATAAGCATGAGACAATCACTACGAACTAACAATTACAAATTGCTATACTGTTTACAAAAAATGATACTAAATAGTATAATTGATATTCGTTTAAAAAAATCCGAACGACAAATAATTTCTATATTGTTCGAGTCCTTCCGTCTCTTAGACGTTTATTGGTAATAATTGTTATTTGTTGTCTGGTACTGATAGTTGATCATCCGCGATATCGTGTTTATGTTTCGGATTTGTCGCATACCGGCGTATCTATTGATCGTATTCTGTAATTGTACAACTTTGCTTAATTGTGATATTCATTTTTTTTTCAAACTTTAAAAATCAATACTTATTACCATAGGGATGGTAAAGTTTCAAAACAAAATTGAAAACACAGTTTTGTAAGAGGAGCCGATGAAATAGGAAAAGTTTAGTGTGCCATGTGTAAATCTGTATTCACAAAAGACATGGTGGTATTTCAAACAGGACTTACAAAAATAATAATTATTTTCGTGTCAAATAGTTCTAAATTAGACTAATTAACGTAATTTTTTATTTATAAAGAACAATCTGGGTTACTAGATAAAAAAAAATCGTATTGCGGCATAAGAAGGTATGTTTGCATTGCATACTATTATGCACAACCATTCTTTTCGATCTATTAATTGTATGTTTACACTACACAAAGAAAATTCATGATACAAATGTTTATTGTGGACAAACGAAATGTGAAGCGATTGTTTTAAAAATGATCACTCCATTTGCAATGGGACAAGTTTTAAAAGACTTGAAAAATACTAAATTTTCTCTTCAAAACAGTTTTAGTAGGTACATCAAATTATAAAAATCTAAAACTTGTTGCAATAATTACTCCATATTAATATTTTAATCCACAACAGTTAAAAATCAAAATGTGTTAGAATTTACAAACTTACAAAATGAAATCGCGGATTTTTGGTCTATTTACATAATAGATGTTCTAGAAAAGTACAATTTATCAAATAAAATAGTCATTTTTCCAGAAGATAAATGTAAGACAAATTCTGGTTGCAGCGCAAGAAAAAGAATCAAAAATATTTTGCAATTGTCAACGAAAATTTAAATATCAGGCATTGGTTATGCAGCTCATATGTTATATAACGCAATGTAAACTAGTACGGATATTTTGCCAAACAATATTATTTAAAGATATTTCAATATTTTCACATATATACACTCCGAATGGAAAAATTAAAAAAATTTAGTGGTTTTATAAATGTCGTGTACAAAAATGTTTTGGGTACTATTAAATAACACAGTGGTTATCTTTGCAGCTAGCTGTTACTAGGATTATCGATTTATTTCTTGCATTAAAAACGTACTTTTTAACTTAAGGTAATATTCTACAATTCTGAAACAGTTTTTTGATAACTAACCTGTCTCTATTGTATGGTTATATTTTATTCAAAGCCAATTGAAAGTGACGGGTGATACAATAACGAGAATTGAAAGTCAAAAATTTTCAGAGAATGAAATGAAATGGTTTGTGAAAAAATAGAAACAAGCAAAGTCAAACAATTTTTACTGCATAATTAGCTTTATTTATTGAAAAAATGGTTTGAATTACGTCACACTACATAAATGTGGTGTGATGTAATTCAAACAATAGAAAAAAATGATTTTTTGTCAAAAACTTTTCAACAGTTATTGAATACTCATTGTCTATATCTGGAACATCTGTAAAATAAATATTTAGAGTAAAAAATGTATTATGAACGTATGAAAAAACGTCTTCAAATCGAAACCATATGATCGATCATTATTGCGAAACAGAACTTTAAAAATTGAATTTGTTCACAAGTTTTTGAATTTCTTTTGAAGCGCCAAAAATTGTCGAATTAAATAATTTTTTCACTAAAGTACGAATAAGAGTAAAAACTATAAAATAAGGATTATCAAATTCAGGAATAATGAAGATAGCTTTTAATAATTTCTCCGAAAAAAAACTAAATTATTAAATATTCATTTTATTCTAAATTTAATTACTATAATAAGTATTTATTCATATAGTATACTTTTAAATCATAAAACTTATAATCAAGATATAAATAAGTAAATAGGTATTCGTATTGCTTCTAGAATAATTCAAAAATTTGTTTTAGAAACTAAACACTATATACAGATTAACATGGAAGCATTTTTTATGATAGTAATTTTAATCATTATCAGATATCTATACTTGACCCAACTATGCCACGTCTCCACTGTACTAGGCTTATAATTATTAAAAAAATTACAGTGAATATATCGAGACTTCAATTAAAGTCTGCAACAACTTAGATTTTGAATTTTGATCTCTTAGTTGTAGTCCATTATTTAAAGTGTCTTCTTCTTTTGGCATGTCTACTCTTTAAAAGTTTTTGCCGCCATTACTACACTTTTCCACCTGACTCTATCTTAGTTGCTACTCTCCAGTCCTCAAAATTTAGGCTTATTTAACATTTAAAATGTTTAAATTTAATTCAATATACCTAATTTATATCAAAAACCATTTTCTAAAATTGTATTTCTTTTGTGAGTAATCGAGTGTTTTATGATAAACCGATCACCTGTATATACTTTTATTAATAAATAATAATAGTAAATAATAAATTATAATTTCTCACTATATTTTCGAAAATTAAAGTTATGTTAATTAAAAAGCATTTAATAATTTAATTTCAAATAATTTTAATTGTGCATAAAAAAGTTTTAAGAAACCACATAAGTTGTAATTTTTACAGAATATCTTTATAACGTTCAATCAAAAACTTTCATAAAATATTTCAGTAATCATAAGCCCATTACGTTTTTCGTGACAATAGAATAAGCAATTTAATAATAAATTTAATTCAATTCAATTGAAAATAAAACGTTAAGGTGTATTTTTTATTTTAAACCTAATATTCATTCAGTTGAATGACTGTGAAAGAGATTTCACTTCATCCGTAAGTCGCATTGGTTTTTTGCCTGTTATTTTTACTCTTTTGAATATATTTTTGCTTAGTATTTTAATACTAGAGTATATTTTTAATGACTATCAGATGTCTATGTAGTCAACAACTCATAATAATTTACTTTATTTCTTGTCTTATTATTTAATTTCCTCGTTAAAATTAAGCTAATTTCAATTTTTTTAACAGATAATAATGCATATGCTTGTAATACTTTAAGACAATATAAGTTTTTAACAAGCTTGCAAAAAACAATCGAAACTGAAGAAGGTTGGAAAGTTGTAGATGAAGATTTAAAAAAATTAAAATTATTTTTAGCCAATCCAGATAATATTAAATTACACATAATTGGTAATATAGATAAATTATGTGATATTACTCCTGAAGCTTCTGCTGCATTACAAAAAGTTATTCAAGATAATTCAAATTCATCAGTACATCCGTAATAAACATTGGGTTTTAGTATTAAAATAATATTTTCATTTATTATAATTAAAATTTATAGATTTAAAACACAGTTTGACTTTGAGTCTATGTTACCTATAAACCAATGTGGAATACGAGCTTGTATTGTTGGAATGGGTTCTATCGAGTCAAGTTATTTCAAACAAGTTACTGATTGTATAAAAGATTATAATCATCCAGACTTAGCTGCTCTTTATGTATTTGTAACATACTTTACTCAGAATGAAGTATATAATATTTTTTTAATAGAGTCGGGTTCTTTTTTGGTTACTCAAAAAAATTAATTTGGTCTAGTATTTTCTATGGTAGGACCAGTCCTTAAAGATTTTTTTTCAGCGGTTTCACCTCATGATTATAACCATCTTGCGCTGAATTAAATAAAGTATGTAATACCCTTTTAGATTCATCGAAAATGATTTACAACTAATAAATTATTGTAATAGATTAACAAACTCAATTGTATTAATGGAAATAAATTTGATAAACCTATTCTTCTAGTAAATAATGGTTAATTAACTTAGGTTAATCATATGCTATATTAAATTAATTTGTATACGAATTAAGCCTTTTGAATCACTTGAAATAAAATTTTTGATTTCTTCTATGCTAAAATATTTTGTGTTATGAAAAAAAGTTTTGGCATGAAGTTTTTAATTTGCACTTATATAATGCCGAAAGATTTATTGCATCGAAGCTTTAGTAATGTAGTAAGAACACGAAGGTTGTACTTAAATAATAATAATGTACACACACAAACTTAAAGTTTTAATAATTATACAGATATTCAAAAGTATAGTGTGAATCTTAATATTTTAGATAAAGTCGTAATCAGAACGGGTCGTTAGTAAAAAGGTATTCACTAAGGCGTCGAAATAGAGAAAGACGCATGTCAGTACCCGAATAAAACAGGGCATGTTAATGGCTTCAAAGTCAAAATAGTTGGTAGAACATTTTTTAAATTTTAAAATCGATATCCACTTCTCGAGAATTACAAGACTTAGTTTTTTCTATTCGTAAAAAATATGTATAAAAATAATTTATAAGTTTAGTTGGGTTTAAATTAATTTTATATAATTAAATCTACCCTTTTTTTTATTACACTACTTGCTTATTGTGCCCATATTCGAACATGGTATATTTAAATAAATAATAACTGGTAATAGACTTGTATCACATTTCAATTGGTTGGGCTAATAATAATCCGTTGGATTCATATATTATGCATTGTAAAGTTTTGATAAATATTATGATTTTATATTTCACTATTTACGAGAACGAGGGAAATTTTTTCAATTTTTGAGGGTAATGTCTTTGACTAGATACTATTTGTGATCTTTTGACGTATCGTTGAGAAAAATCGGTCAGTGAGAGATGAGAAAAAGTAGTGACAGACACAAAAAAAAAAAAAATAAACACATCATAGTAAAATTAATACCTTTTCAGCTTCGCATCGAAGCTAAAATAATAATTTTTATATTAAATTGTCCTTATTTTCCTCATTTCAATATTAACCATACATATTGTAATCTTAATATGTTAACTATTGATATAGCAGATTTAAATGAAACATTATAGGCAATCATAAAAATAAATTTATAATAAACGCAATTATATTTCCAAAATTAATGTTATTGGGTTTTCAAAATTTGTATTTATCACTCATTTCATAAATGCAATTTTTGTTTTTAACAGGGACCTATATGGAAGAACGTACGAGGATTAGGTTATGCATATTCCTGTTGTATTATTATAAATGCAGACAAAGGAAAAATTAGCTTAATGTTTAACAATTCTGTAAATGTATCAGCTGCTTATAAAGTCACAAAATCAATAATAGTATGTAGAATTGGAAAAATCATATTATGAATTTAAAATATACTTGCAAATTAAATTTCTCTATAATAATTTTAATTTAAAAAAACTTTAATTTTCATTAATTATATAATATGAATTGATCACTCATGTCTAATATTATTTAAAGTTTTACATGTATTTAAAATAATAATTAAAATCTAGAAAATATTAAAAATATTTAACTCAAAAAGCCACAAAAAATACTAAGAAATCTCGTATAAGTATTTTGAATTTTTACACTTACTATTTGTGTTTAGCACCGATAATGGTAACATTATTCTCGAAATACATATACGAGATTTTTTAATGTTGTTTTCTTGTCATCAATTAATATTTGATGTGGATAAAATTTTGTATTGTTAAATCTTTCTATGATTTAGGATGAACATTTATCCAGCGGCTTTAATTGGGATCAAACACTATTTGAATCAGCAAAAGGTTGTGTTATATTTCAAATGGTTAATAACGAGGATACAGTTAATACATTAACTACACATTCAATTTTGTTAAACTTCCGAAATTTAAAACAAACTTATACCCAGTATTGTTTTACTTATTATAATGAAATATTTCAAAAATATAATTGTATTTTCTTTAGGGACCTAGTTAAAAAAATATCATTAGTGAAGCTTGAAGATCTTTTTGAAATTGGCAGAAGGTATGTGATACCATTATTTAATCCAAAATATACCGTAACTGCAATAGTATGTCCTCCTACAAAAGTCGAAAAAACAGCTAATGAGTTTAAAAAGTAATATTTTAAATGACAATAAAGGTGAATTTGTGTAAATGTAAACAAATGGGATAATTGTTATTTCATTTTTTTTTCATAGAATATTTAGCAGATTTTATTTTAGATTTAAATTTTATGGTCATCATTTGCGTTGCTATCGCATTCAATTAATTTCAAAAAAACAACACGTGCATTCATCTAAAAAACTGTTATTAGAATTACGTCAATCGTTTACAATTACACCAATTCACTAAAATAATATAAATAACAATTTGCTAATTAAAATATTTAAAATTTCAGAATTGGTATTAAAATGAATGTGTACAAGTCTTTAAATGAAATTTTTATAAATAAAAAACAGCATAATTGGGTAAAACACATTTTTAAATACCTCTAGGGATACTTTTTTGAATGATATATTATCAAATCTAAAAATTATTAATTAAATAAAATACATTACTCAGTCCAAGACAATCAAAGTAGATGCTCAAGAATTTTAAATACTCACATTTTGCGTTATAAAGTTATTTTTGTTTTTTATAAAGTATTTCTAAATATGTTATAAAATAAGAAACACTGAATTCTTAGATATGAAATTTAATTTTCACAATAAAATATTGGTTTTAAGAATAAATGTAAATCCTTAATAAAGTATTCTGTTGAAGTATGACAAACAGATTATGTATAATAATAATATGATATACAGTATATCTATCGTTTTATTAGTTTTATTATATATATATATATATATATATATATATACAAATTTATGCTTCAAAAACATTTAAAATAGTTCAATAACTAATTTGGTTTTTTCTATGTTTATAATATTAACTAATAATTAATTTTTAAAAACTTTGTTCTTTCTATTAACTTTATTATTAAATACTATAATTTACATTATTAATTAAGAATATATTTTAATATCTTAATATTATTTTATTATTAAAAATTTACTCTTTGATGAATTCATATTTTATGTCAATGTTTAAGACACTAGTGAGCCCTGGGTTCATAAATAAGATTAATACAAGCTTGATTATCTTCAAATAGTACTGTTGGTCCATCTATATTACATTCTATTTGTGATTATAATTCTCTTAACCATATACATTTACATACTGCCCACAGGTCTATGTCTATGTCACAACATAGACGTTGAAGATAATCTGACTTTACTTTGTTTGCAATTAGTCCAACCAACTGTTGACCTATGCATTAAAAATAAGAAGTTGATTTTCTGGCTTTAAAACACTTCCAAAGTCAGCATCACTATAACTGAATAGGAAACCAGCATTCCTTCCTGCATAAATTAATTTCAAACAGATAGTTCCTTTAAGGGATCTTATGATGGTTGATTTTATTAACAGGATTAATAATTTAACATAATAATATGAAATAAAATAATTAATACAGATTTAAGTGGGTTATTCCACAAAGTTCTGACAGATGTTCGGACAGATGCTCTGCTTGGCTAAAACTGCCTTGCCGGTGGTGGTGGCACATGGTTCGGGCTGATTGGCTTAGACCGAAAGGGCTAAGTCAGCGAATTCCTTAGTGCTCCGCCTAGGCCAATACCGATATCTAACTAACAAAGTTATTAACACATGTAAAAAAAACTAGATATAAATTAATACAGTAATTCAGGGGTTTGTAGCAATATGTAATCAACAAATAGCAATAAATAAAAATAAAAATTTCATATTTATACACACAAAGATAATAATTATCTCGTATAGTATGTAATTTGAGTGACATGTAATAAATTCTAAGTGCATGAACCGGGGGTATTAAGTGATGAAATACTTCATCCGGTCACCATGCTTCTTTACCGATGGTCCGACATCTTGGTATATCACTCCAAGAGCTGACCAACTTGTTAGAGCGTAGTGTGGTATTAGAATAACTGAAGGTGAGAGGAGTTAACTGCACAAAACCAGTGATCTATATAATGCTCAAATGGGTAAGTGTGTAAATATGCATAGTGTGTGCATTAAAACTAAATAAATAACTTAAATTTCTACAATTATTAATGATAATATTTTCAATAATCATTCAATTAAAACAATCGTATAAGTTTTTAGCCGCTTTATCTTATTAATAAAAAATAAATATAAAATTTGTGTATAAAATAATAACGAAAGTAAAATCTATAAAAATTCAACAATTAATATAAACTCTCTCAAATAAATAATAATAACAAATAAAGTAGAAAAAATTAAGAACTAAAAACAATGGGAAAAATCCCACTAACAATAATATGAAACAAAACAGTCCCTTTGACTCTTCAATTATAAATGAACTAAATTTAAACTGCAATAGACTAAATGGGCAATAAAGTATAAATTATAAAATTTAGGTAGTTATAAATTGACTAAAAGTATATTAAATAAATAAAAATAAAAAAATTCAGAAATAAGACAGCCATTGGCTTCACTAATGGTTAACCCTGTGTTTACTATAGTGCTTATTTGCACAAGAATAATATCTTCATCTTTTTCCTCGTCTTAATCCTAACTACTTTAGGTCGGTCACCCTTATTCTAAACTTTCACTTGACACAATCTCTCACATCAGCCGTTCATATCACATCCAATAATATCCCTCCATCTCTTTTTTGATCTTCCTCTACCTCTTCGTCCTTCAACATTCATTTCTATAACTGTTCATACAGCTTCCGATTTCTCTCTCCTCATAACATGACCAAACCATCTAAGTCTATTTCTCTCATCTTATCCACGATTGACGCTACACCTATACTACTTCTTATATGTCCATTCCTTATCTTATCTACTATAGTCTTTTATTTAAGCATTATCATCTCTGCTACACTCATTCTTTGCTCTAGTCTCTTATCAACTCCCCAACATTTTGAACAATACATCATAGCTGATCGCACTACAGTCTTATAGAACTTACCTTTCAGCTTCATTGGAATTATTTTATCGTATAACACACTAGACACTTCTATACATCAACCACCTGCACTTAATCCTGTGTCTTAAATCCTCGTCAATACCACTGTTTTTTTGTATAACTGATCCTAAATACTTAAAACTTTCCACCTCTCCTATAACTTCCTCGCTTATTGTCAATGATCTCCTCATTTGACCTACCTCGTGTTCTCCTTTTTGTCAAACACGCACTCAATATACTCTGTCTTACTTCTACTTATTCTTAAACCCTTTTCTTTAAGAGCTGATCTCCACACCTCTAGCCTTTCCATCGCAACCCAGCGCGCCTTTCGAAATCGCTTTAACGTAGCCCCTGTTCTAGACAGGAAATCCATTGTTACATGGGTCACTACGTTCAGACAAACCGGGAATACAAGGTGAAAAACTGGAGTCCCTCGGTCTATCAGATCATCTGAGAATATCGAGGCAATAAGAACTTCAATCTTGCAATCTCCTCGGCGCTCTGCGCGTAAACATGCGTATGCCCTTGGACATTCCGATCGTTCAGTGAGGCAAATCTTTCACAAAAATCTACATTACTATCCATACAAGTTGGCGATTGTGCATGAACTCTCCGAACGCGAATTTAATTCTCGAAGAAATGCATGCGAGGCGCTTCTCGAAAACGTTCCTGAGGACGAAATTATTTTTTACAGCGATGAAGCCCATTTTTATTTAAGTGGATGCGTCAACAAAAAGAACATGCGCTACTAGGCTAACAACAATCCGGGAGAATTGCATCAAAGGCCTTTGCATTCGCCTAAAGTCACAATTTGGTATGCAATTTTCTCAACCGGAATTGTTAGTCCCTGGTTCTTTGAAGAAAATGAAGTCACAATGACAATGAACTCAGACCGGTACGTGACCATGTTGGAAGAATTTTTTCTCTCACAACTTGATGAATTGAACTTAGGGGACATTTAGTTCCAACAGGACGGAGCAACGGCTCACACTTTGAGGGCATTGATGGCTGTGTTAAGGGAACACTTACCGAGGCGCTTTTCTCAATAAGGGGCAATTTGGAGTGGCCAGTCCGTTCGCCCAATTTGGCCCCTTGCGATTTTTTTTGTGGGAATTTTTTAAATCTCGCGTATATGTCAACCGTCCAAGGACCCTATAAGAACTAAAGGCCAACATACCAATTGAAGTTGCCAACATTCCCGCTGCTATGCTGACAAGGATCATAACAAACGCTAGAAATCGTCTGATACAATGTATGGAAAATGGGGGGCGTAAAACAATACTTTAAATATGTACTTACATTCTTTAAAAAAAAATAAAAAAATAATGTTTCATAAAATGTGTTTTATTGTATTTAAAAAAAAGGAAGTTATCCTGCCGCACCTATATTTGTAACTTTTCAACGTTCAATCTGATAATGAATAATTAACCGCAATTTTGAACCAAATGTATTTAAATATTACTCTTAAAAGACATTATTGTTTAGCTAAATCGACCACTAAAAGACGTTTTTTATGACACTAAATTTTTATTCGATGTAATTAAGTCACAATAAAAAATTCGTAACAACGAGGCTTACAATAGCTCTATAAATTTTAATGTAATAAAAAAAGTTATAATATGAGTATCTAAATGCCGATTATATTTTACTTGGAGATTTTAATTTACTTTTAGCAATAAACTCGTATTCCTATACAGGCAAAGTGGTCCCGCTAGAAATATAGCGATTCTTTCGATACAAATTTAAAAAACTTTGGACATTTTGTTTCCACAAGTTTTGTTAGTATTTCGTTCAAGAAATCTTAAACTTAAGGTTTAGAACATGCGCTATATACCTTCTTAATGTATTAGATTACATATAACTCAATAAATACTTCAAGTTGTTACTTAAAATTAAAAATAATCTTTTCTTTTTTTCAATGGTTACAATCAACGAGAACAGTAGATATCTTTACTTATTGATCCTAAATGATCTGTCGTTTTTACTAAAATATATGCGATAACGTTCAATTATTTACTAAGAATAATACGCTTGTACAATAGAATAATGTGTAACCGTTAAGCACTTTTTTTTAAGACTACTGTTGTCAAAATTGATACATTTATGATCGTCGGTCAGTCATTAAATATCTAGTTAAGCAATGAATAGTCGCAAACGATATACGTGTTCAACAAGTAAGGAAACTGATCAATTGTTACAATTAATGAAAACAGTAGAAACCCATTTCCTTACTTACTGAACATTCTATATATACAGAATATGGTAAGATTTTAACGAAAATGTTAAAAAATTGATTATTATTGATAAAACTAAAAACTTTCAATAAATTAAGTAAGAATGCATTTGAATCATTCGCTGAAGTCCGCTAGAGTAGCAATTCGAGTTAATTAAATATAGTAATAACAGTGCTGAACTCAGTTCAAATCACGTTCATAACACGATTCAAAATAAGATTTGAATGCGGATTTTAACATGGAGTGAACTGGGTTCTACAAAAGTACATAGACCGTTCCTTGGTTCAACTATAAAAAGCTTCAATAGTCATTCATTAGTTCATTAATAGTTACGATTTTTAAAAATAAATTTTTAGATTTTATACATATTCAAAAATGTTATAATTTTAAAATGATATTTTGTAATACTATATAGATTGTTCAGTAAGTTAGGAAACGGGTTTCTATTATTCTCATTGTTTATAACAATTTGCCTGTTTCCTTACTTACTGAACACTCTGTTTCACAATGTGTCATCTGTATACTTTATACAGATGATACATAAACAGGTGATTTTTTTATCATAACCCACTCAATTACAGAATAATAATAACTTAAACATTGTTTTTTTTTATTTTCTTTAGTTACACATTATTCTTGAATTATTAACTATGTAATACTTTTTAAGTTCATCCCTTATACCTTGTAAGGGTGTCAACTTTGTTTATACAAATGAGAACACATATTTTGAATTTAATAAAATGTTTGAGTTTTAAGTTAATAATAAATGGAATTTGAATTTTCAATATAAATTTATTTGTTTATTAGATATAAACATTTAAAGTTTCAAATTTTTGAGTTAATATACATGTATTATACACAAAGCATTACAAATACTAGTAGCTAATTGGTTTTTTATGACATCACTGTCACAGTCACAGTGTGTTTATTGTCAATTGTGACTATCAATAGATATACTTTCTGTATTGCCAGTTAGTGTATTTATAAAGTCATAACAATGTGCCTTACTACCATTGATAATAAATGCTATGTACCTACGAATATTGATTGTTATAAAAAAATCACTCTGTATATGTATATATAAAGTACTATAGTTAACCCTATAATTTTAGGTATATTTATTTCATTTTATATTTATAAATTAGTCATTATATTAGTAAATATATTTGTATAGATTATATAGGGGTTCAAAAATTAAAGAAAAGGGTCCCCATTATACGTAACATTTGACTTGTTTTTCATTGAACATGTAGTATATCAATACTACAGATGGAAAATGTGCTGTGTATAAACAGGGGTGATTTCGTAGAGGGAGTGGAGATGTAGCACCCCCAAAACGTTTTTCATAGAAATAAAGCTTTAACTATAAATTTTAAGACCTTGTTTATAATTTGTTATATTCAGAAAATGTTTAATTGTTTTGTTGTGTTTAATTAAATTCAATTGAAATTTTATATATGAAATATGTCAAAATTAGCCTGTTATAGAATATTGTAAAAAATACTTTTAAAAAGTATTTAAATTACCATCAAATACTATTAATTATGTATTTGAAATAATCTTCCAATACCAAACAAAAAAAATGATTGAATGTTATTTATTTTAATAAAAAATTGTATTGGTTCCACTTTAAAAACATTATTTATTCAACATGTATATCAGACATGTTAGTCCTCTTTTTAGTGATTGTACCACCAACAACACTAAAAACTATCTCAACTGATGTACTGCTTGGTAAAGAAGTGTTGTATTTAATGAAAAACTGAAAACAAAAAACAAATTTTTTAGTAAAATTATACTACTTATATTTATTCTAAATATCTAATTAATCTTACTTTTTTTAATTTTGGGTAAATTATGTAAACATTCTAATATTTTTGCTGTAGATATACCCAATATTCTGTTAATTTCATCACTAACTGTTGACTTTTCCTCATGGACATTTTCTGTCCCGATAAAGAAGCTAGATAAATGATACATTTGATCATAATCTGTAAAATTTTAATTTTAATTAATTGTCATTAATATTTTTGGTGCAACTCAAAACAGACATTTTTTAAATACTTGGTGGCCATTTGTTTTTTACTTCATTTTTAATCCAGGCAGTTTTAAATTGTGGATGACAGACAGTAGCAGTAATTAAAAATTTGTTCATCAAAGAATCAGAAAACTTTGTTTCTATACCTAAATGAAGAGAGTAATACTTAAATATTAATATCAACAAAGTTTATTTTTATTACACTACTCATTGTATAAAAATATATATATTCAGAATAAAACAATGAATACATGTAGAAACACGAGATACTAATTAATATTATAGAACAAAATTAGTTAAAATAAAAATAATTAAATGTGTAAGATAGTAAATGTATTTGGCTGATAAAGTATATTTATGTATTATATCTCACTACATAAACTACATATATTGTTTTAAGATAAATTCTCTTAAAATAATATTGCTTTATAGTTATTGTGATTACATACCATTTAGTATAGCAGTTACTAGACCTTGCTTATAAATAGGAATTGTGTGATCATGTGTGAGAAATTACCAAAATATAAGTTAATATCATTTTATAGTAAATCAAGGCTTATTAAAATTGATCCCATTATTTTTTGACATTGATTTAAAAATTTAATGTCATATCTATTAAATCTACAAATATATACTCTTGTTTGTTCTGCAAAGCAGTTGACTTGAAAAAAGTGATTCTGGTCTGTTTTTTAAAAGTAGCATTAGACATAGCTTTTTAAAAGTCTTACACAGAAATTGTTAATTAAAAAAATTAAATATTTGATTTTATATTTTTATTTACCACTATTGCTATAGAATTAATTGTGTGCACAACATCGATTATTTTGGGTAATGTTTATGTTTTTGAGTTATTTAGGTAACATATACTAAGAATCTAATTCTTCATTATTTAGAATGCTCAAATTAGCGACATCAATTTATTTTATTTCATTATCTACTTCTACTGAATTGTTCACAAGCAACTGATTAGAAATTTCAGTATTTGCTTCATCAAGTACATGACTAATGTTCTATAAAATATAATAAAGGTTAAATTCAAACTAATTTAATGAGAAATTAATTAAAATTCATGATTTTCCATTAATATAAATGAAAAAATTAATATTTTCAGATGTATGTTACATAAATTAAAAATATGAGCAATGCCAACATAAATAATTTTATAGTTATTAATTATATTAATTTGAATAGATCTTACTCAAAACATTTTACAAAATTAGAACTGTTATATGTAGTACAATAACATAATTTATCTGAAATGTAAACTGTGTTTATGTGTTTATAATCATATGTATGTTACCCTTCTAGTCTTTTTATTGTTAGAAGACGAGTAGTTCTTAATAAAACCTCATTGATCTATGTGACTGTTATTCCAATGTACGATCTAAAAAGATATATTACCTATAAAATAAATAAATAAAATACATAAATATACTACCTAAAAAATATGTTGATTGGGTACTTATATAAATTAAAATAAATCTATTATTTAGCTTTTAAAAATTGACCAACCATCTATAGTCGTAACAATATGATCACATTTAAACATCTCAGATTGTATTTAGAAGTATAATTTATGAAAGTCATTCTCAATACTTTTCATTAAAGTAGGCCGAGACATAAGTTTCTGTTGGGGAAAACTCATTCAATTACATTCTTTGAAACAGGATTTTCAATTATTCTAAATGGTAAATAAACACCTATAATAAATTATTTCAATAGTTATGCAATAATGCAGAGTATCTGAAATCAAAATTATATAATAACCAAAAATAATAGTTTTTACAAAAACATATAAAACTTTTTCATTTAAGCTAATAAAATTGACAAATAACTTATTAATTTTATATATTATAAAATTTCAGTTTTGAAATTCTTTCAACTAGAGTTGAAACATTAAATATGTGATTACATCAACTCATGTATTATGTAAGTAATTTCATTTAAGTCCCAACTTGATAAATGTGATTAAAATAAAAAAATTACTATGTACATTCTTACTTTGATTAGTAAACTTTTTTGCACAAAAAATCATCTAAAACTGGCAGATTTATCTGTTTTCTTCAAGTTTTTTTGAAGCATTGACACTACTATTTTTCAGTCATTACATCTCTTTGAAATTTTTCTGTCTACTCCAATATAATTAATTGTTTTTAATATATTTGAATGTTGGCTCTAAATACAGTTAAATAATAAAAATTAAAAAATTTTAATTAATATTTAAATTTTTAATTTACTACGCTCTAGTGTGGCATACAATAGTAACCTATTGGATTTTATTTTTTCAATTTTACAAAATCCAATATTAATTATAATAATAATTTCAGTAATAGAAACTCTAAATTATAAAAGAAAATATCTAACGCAACAAGTTCAAAAATATTATTAAACTAAACTATTAAACTAAATGTAGTACTATAGAATATGTTATGTTAGACCTATCATAAACTAAGTAAAAATTCTAATATCAAAACTTTCAAAGATTATAATGAAATTAAATTTTTTTCCCAATTTTATTTATATTATATATAATATAATTAATAACAATAATAATAATAATTTTTAAATTAGAGACCAAAAAAGTATTATATTTTGGTATTTTTTTTTAATTTCTACACTATTATAATTATTATAATAGTGTAGAATGAACTACCATCAGCGAGTATGCTTCTTAATAAAAACACATAATGGCCATTGTATATATATTTTTTAAAATAACCTTATTATAGTGAAAAAAATTGAATTTAAATTTGAAATCAGGCACATAACTACTCTGCGTTGTAAGATATTTTTTGTACAAATTATCTAATCATATAGATAAATGACTTAATTCAAAGATTTTTTTTATAAATAATAAATATTAGTTTTTTACTATTAAATAAAATTACCATACACTATAAATATATGTTAATGATTTAATATTTAACATGGTTAATTAAATTGATGTATGTGAAGCAATCTCATTTTATACCAATTTAGATTAAACTAAACATAATTCTTTTTTTTTTTTTTTGATAATAAGTATTTAAAAAAGCCAAATGTTAAATTGATTTTTTTTTTTTTGCTATACACAAAGAAAACATCGTAAACAATTTTGATTTATTTTATACACTTTAAAGTTAACAATATAGTAATAAATTCTACTCCTCAGATTTAAGTTCAGATTTTCAGAATTAGGTTTATTTAAAAAAATCATAATTGAAAGGTTAAAGGTGACCATGAAACACATGTGAATTTTATTATATATTTAAAGCTGTTAGCATTGCTAAAAATCCTTTTATTTTATGTTTCATTTGTTCAAATTATAAAAACATAGTTTTATTTCCATTCATACCCATCCCATTCTTCCTATTAGAAAAATTATGTGAAATTTTTAATTATTTAAATTTATTAAGTAGCATAATCATGATCATAATCCTAAGTTTCTTAAGAATATACAACACATGTATTTTTCATGCCTCACTTTATGATACCTTTATTTTTAAGACCACCTTATTATTGTTTCATCAAACCTTCAAATCCAATAAAACATTTTTTTATTGTAAATATTGTTCAGAAAAATTATTAGTTAATATTATAAAAGTAATATATTAAATTAAAAAACGTTACGATTATCGTGAATATTTAGTAAAAAATATTATCATAGCTATTTTGTTTGAAATTAAAATAAATTATTCTGTTGTCATTGTGTTAGACAATTTTTCTTTAACATCCTTTAAATAATTTTACCTAACAGTATATTAAACTAAAATTTATTATATTTTCATGTAAGCTAAAATTACTTACAAATTTAATATGCTATTATACTTTTAAAAATATAAATAAATTACTTACTTTTGAGTTAAACATGAAAAAATTATTGACATGAAAGCGACAAGAGAGGCAGAAATCTTGGCAGTTCTCTTGTTGATAAGAAAATGGTAATGTCCCAAAAGGAGCATTTATAAAAATGCTAATATTTGTCAATAGTTTGCGAAATGGCACACAAATGACAACTAAATTATATCACAATTAAAAACGCGTATTAGAATTGTTGGTCAATGGTTAGCGGCACGTCTAGTTATTCCGCCATATGCTCACCATATGAATTCGCTCTAGTCTCAATAAAGTCATCATAGATCATTCTTATATATAAAATATAATTATTTTATTAATTTACTAATTAAAGGTCAATTCTTCTTCTTTTTCCTCATCTCAATCCCAACTACTTGGGGTCGGCTACCCTTATCCTAAATTTCCACAATTAAAGGTTAAATTATTACATAAAATTACAACTGTACATCAAAACTATTATTACCATTATAATGATTCTATTATATTTAAAATAAAATCAAGTAGTAATGACAAATTGATCGTATGAACGGTATATAAACTGAGAGCCAGGTTACTGAGTGCACTCTTCAACATTAATAAAACTGTACGGTTTTCTTTTTAACTTTGATCTGTCTTAGTAATTATAAAAAAAAAACTTGGTTATTTATTAAACGCTAAACTTTCCCAACCATCGTGGGTCGCTTGAACCGACCGTGAACCAATATAATGCTACTCAGGCGGAATCCGAATTAAATACTTAAGTAATCATATGGCATATTGGCTTTGATGCGAGAGAGTATTAGTTTTACTATAATGAGTTTTTTTTTTGTCTGTTACCACTTCAAAGATACGTCAAAAGATCACAAATCGTATCTAGTCGAAGAAATTACCCTCAAAAATTGAAAAAATTTCCCTCGTTCTCCGTAAATGGGGGAAGCCTCCAAAAAAATTACAAATTTAAAATTTGCTAATTTTCGAAATTTTTTCAATTTTTTTTACTAAAAACTGCCATAACTTTTTAAAAATAACCAAATCAATATAATTTTTTTTTTATAGATGCTTGATGTCTTTACCTATCATTTGGTATATTTTTTATATAAATTTGACCATTTATTTGCTCACGGGGGGGATTTAAAATGACAACTTTTTCACAAAAAATTAACTTTTTCAACTTAACTTTTGAAAGTGTTCCGGAAGTCTGACACTTATATATATATCTTAAATTAAAACTAATGTAATGTACTTTATTATGGAAAAAAAAAAGTTGACCTCTGGACTTGTCTTCGTGGTGAAAATGGCTACCAAATGCTATTTTTATGTGAAAATTCTCGATTTTATATTTTACATTTTTTACTTTATAATGCTATAACTTATTGAAAAGTGTATGGATCAATACAATTTTTTCATGAGAAGTAGTATTTATATACATCTTTCATTTGAAACGTCGCCACTGTGCCGCGTCCCCTCTGTGTTGGGCTTTTTTTATATTTTTTTTATTTTTAACCAACTTTAAAAAAAAAAAGGAGATTATGATTTAAGTTGTATTTTTTATGTTTTCTATCTCATTACTCCGCCATTTATAAACCGATTTCGAAAATTCTTTTTTTATTTAAAAAGACATGCTTTTGAATTAGTCTCATGGAAATTTTATCAAAATCAGTTCAGTAGTTTTTAAATCAAAATAACTAATCTCTAGAGATGTTAGTGGTCTCCAAGTTAGGTGAGCGATGGCGGCGAGTGTACACAACCCGAAATAATAATCATAAGTAAAACAATAATAGTATTTATTTTAGTAATCAAATAATACTGTACGAGTTAAGTCATCAGATCAATAAAGATAAGTAGCCGCAAGCGTGGTAAAATATTGATTGTCTTCATTATATTTTTAATTAACTCAAGAATAGTGTAATCGGTTTGTCTATACCCGCGCGCCACATACTCAAAGTTGAGCTGGTAGGGACGTTTGTACTAATGAGGCACTAATATAGTTATTAATTGTGAATGTTGGTTAAAGACAAATAATCTACTTGTAACAGAATCAGATTAAATAAAAAATATTAGGAAGGGGGTTTATGTTTTTATCTCATCCTCTTCCGATAAATTATCTACGCCTCGTTTATTCACCTTTAATATGCAGAAAGTGCTTAAAATCGGTTATGCACTTCAATAGATGTTATTTAACTTTCAAATTAAAATTTAAAAAATATTTTGTACAAAGTTTGAAATTTAATAAATTTATAAAAATTACACTAAAATATTTTTAAATAGCTTTAGGGTATTGTACAAGTATTAGCAGATAATTTATTTATTATTGTCCACTAAATTTATCCTAAGATAATAATCTTGAAAATGTTTTTTTTTTTAATAGTGGTTAAATACTTTTTAGGTTCACCCTTATCCCTTTCTTAACCTTTTCTTTTTTAATGACAACATATTGAACTAGCTCATAAAATAGAAAATAATCTAATTAAAAAAATGACTTGTCAATAACAACTTTTAGATCAGTACTTCGGAAATTTATCGTTTTTATAGCTGATGGATGAAAGAGTGCAGTCTTTAAAAAATTTTAAATGATAAAAATTTTCACACCCCATCAATAATACAATAGAGCAATAAATTGAAAACTAAACAACAAATCAGCGACAAATTCATTGGTTATTTATAATTCGATCAAGAGGTATTTTAAAAAAATAAATACTGAAGTTAATCCAGTCAAGTAGTAAGAGCGACAGACAAAAATAACCGGTCGAACAAAGTATCATAAAGGTATAGTACAGTTAATACACTGTATGAGAGAACGCAACTTGACGGGTAAATAGTAAAATAGAGGGATCCTGTCTTATTCAACAGTCACTCAGTTGCGTGGCCTACGGTATAGCAATAATTTCATAAACAAACTGGCAACGTTGCTTTGAGAAGTCTGAAAGGACAGTGCGTTAAAAACGTTCATAATGCTTATGAACTATGTTGCCAGTTTGCTTATGAACTAATCTTTTATTATATTATTCGCTTTTACTACTTGTAGCTCGATTGACTTCAGTATTAATTTTCCCAAATGTCTATCCATCGAATCGATTATAATCAATGATTATATGATTGACTATTTACTGAAAACAGTTGTTGGAATTTGTCTTCACATAAACTAAAATTATTATTAATAGACCATCCCTGTTAGGTTATTTTGCTATTCGTTATTTATCGCCCATTAGTGTTGTAAGTAAATTACATTTATAAAATGTACATTATGACAATTTTTAGTACAAATTATTCAAGCACCACTTATACTGCATCAAAGTTATTCTTTTTTTAGAAAAAGTTTGTTATATTTGATAGAAGTTTAAAATTTTCTTATTACATTTTATTTCAGACTAAAAATATTTTGTAATTTATATTAATTTAATCGGTTACGCACTGTAAAAACTATTAATTTAAAATTTAAAAATATAAATAATTCTTTACAAAACTTAAAAATAAATTTATAAAACTTTTACATAAAAATTGTATGAAATATTACTACAAATATTTTTGTTAATGTTGTTTAATTAGCTTTAAAGAGTCCTTGATTTATCATAGATCATTAAATTTCTCCTAAAATAATAATCTTAGAAATATTTTTTTTTAGCTTTGTTGAGTATTATTTATCTCTCAATTTATAAATTGGTAAATACTTTTTAGTTCGTCCTTTATACTTAAAAAATAGAAATTGGTCTAATTTAAAAAATGACTGCTCGATAATAATTATTGGACCAACAATTCGGAAATTATTACTATTTAAATATTTAGGCAGATAGAAATGCGTGGTCGTGAAACGTCTCATGTTAAAAATAGTCATAAATATATTAGAGCAATAAATTGTTAACTACTCATCAAATTGGCGACAAATTCATTGATTATTTTATTAATTCGATGTTTAACAAAATGAATACTGAAGTCAATCGAGGAAAGTAGTAAGAGCAACAAACTCAAATAATCGGATGAACAAAATTAAAGTGTTTAATAATGTGTAGTACAATTAATATATTGCGTGGAAAACGCGACTTGCTGCCCAAATGGCCAGATAGTATCTTACCCAACATACTTACAACGTTGCTTCAATAAGTCTGTGTTATTACAAAGGAGAGAGCATTAAAATAGTTCTTGACGCTTAACAATACCACGTTGTCAGTTTGCTCATTGCCTTTTCTTTAATTTATATTTGTCGTTCTTACTAGGTGGTTTGATCGACTTCAGTATACATAATTTCTTAAATATCTGTCTATCAAATTGATAATAATCAATGAATTTGTGGCAGTTTTTAAGCTATAGTAGAATACAAAAAGCCGGTATAACAGCACATTTTATTTAATTCATTACTTGATAATGACTACATACTATATATATATATATATTTATACAGCAAAACAATAANTTTATTTAATTCATTACTTGATAATGACTACATACTATATATATATATATATTTATACAGCAAAACAATAAGGCCCGGTTGGGTGAGGTGGGTTTACACATTTTGAAGGTGATAAGTAGAACAAGACAACCGGACTATAGTACAATCGCCACAAAACGCATGAACTGTTATAACTACAGTACTCTTATGTATAATTTTATTATTTCCAGGTGTATATATCTTTAGCACTCATAACATAATTAATTTTTTTTTTATTCAATTTTTATATTATATTTATATTTATTTTATATTTGCCCAACTATATTTAATACATAATTATTGATTAAGAATAAGACACTTGTTTTCTAGGAATGTATTGACAATTTTTAATTTTCATAAAAGAATTAATATTATTATTGTAATGTTTATTTAATATTAAATAATCTTTTCTTTTACAAAAAGACTCCAAACGTAGAGATAATATAAAAAAATATTATTTAAAAAAAAATTTATGTTAAAGGGTAAGACGGAGTTTCTATTTGAATTTGTTATTCTTAAAAAATTCAGTATTTATCAAAATTAATCAACTATAGCAGCACATCCTAGCTAACATATAATTGTCTTACGATATACTTTGTTGCTCGATTGTATGTGAACAATATTAAATATCAAACCCAACCTACAAATTTTAAAGGTTTTGCTCTTTCCTTTTAAAATTCGCCTCTATAAGTTTATCGCCCCTCCAAGCAACCACTAAAAATGACTCTGTATACAGGATAGATTAGACGGAAGATTTTAAGGAAACTTGTCATGTGGCACACATTTTTGTGACCCTCGAACGTCAATCGAAAAAAATAAATTCAACCTCTTAAACATTTTAATGATCTTCACAAATCATAGATACAACTTAAGGGGCTAGGCCACCCCTCCCCAAATCAACGTAGAGATTATGTTAACGGTTAAATGATACTTAAATAAATTTACAGAGTGATAGATTTAACATTGACCACTAAGTCACCCTTAAAATAATAATAATCTAGAAAATATTTTTTTTTGGCTTTGATAATTAATATAATATCAATTTATAAGTGATTAAATAAATTTTATATTTACCCTTTATCCTTTATAATATTACTAACTTTTATATTTAAACAGCTTAAAAAGTACACACTATTTAATTAATTAAATGACTAATCGATAACAATTTTTGGACCAGTACTTCGTAACTTATTAACATATTTCTACATAGGCCAATAAAAGTATGCGTCCGAAAATTAGTAGTGATAAATTCTCATGACTATTATACTACAAGAAAGTAATTGTAGAATACTAAATTGAAAATTACACAACGAATCGTCGATAAATTAATTGATTATTTAGAACTCGATTGACAGATATTTGAGAAAATGAATACTGAAGTCAATCGAGGAAAGTAATAAGAGCAACAAATTAAAATAATCGGATGAACAAAATTAAAGTGTCATAAATGTATAGTACAATGAATATAATACGCGAGAGAACGTGACTTGGCGACTGAATTGTAAGATTGGAAAAATTCTATGTTACTCAATAATCACTCAGTTGTGTTCTCGGGCCCGCGACGTAGAAATTAGTTCATAAGGAAACTGGCAACGTTGCTTTCATAAGTCTGTACAAATAAAATTGGCAGAGCGTTACACGCGTTCTTAACACTTATGAACACCACGTTGCCAGTTTCCCTATTAACTCATCTATCATTAGAATTTTTCGCCGTTTTGAAAATATCTGCTCCGTCTGCTGAACACGGTTGTTTGTTTTGTCCCTCAAATTTACTAACATTATTGCTATTAATAGACTGTACGCTTGGGTTATTTTTCTATTCGTTATTTATTGCCCATTAGTATTGTAAATACATTGCATTTATAAAATGAATGTTGTTTACTATGTTTACAAATTATTCAAGCACCATTTTTATTACATTAAAGTCATTAATTTTTAAGCAGACATGATTATTATATTTGATAGAAATTTAAAATTTTCTTTTTATATTTTATTTATGGTTATATATATAATGTAATTTATAATAATTTAATTGGTTATGTACTGTAAAATATAAACCATTTTTTTAAATTATGAATTTTATAAATATAAAAAACTGTTACATAAAAGTTGTGTGAAATATTACTAAAATTATTTTAAATGTTTTTTATTATATTTAAAGAGTGATTGATTTATCATTGACCATTAAATTTTTCTTAAACTAATAATCTTAGAAATATTTTTTTTTCATTTGCATTTTATTTTAATTTGTCGCCGTTTTTAAAATATTATTCCTGTCTGCTGAAATCGATTGTTTGGTTTTGTCGCTCATATATACTAAAATTATTGCTACTAATAGATATATTAATTTAATACATTTATAAAACTGTTACATTGTGTGACATATTACTAAAAATATTTTTTTTAATGTTGTTTAATTAGCTATAAAGAATGATTGATGTTTCATTTACCACTAAATTTCTCCTACAGTAATAATAATATGAAATTTTTTTTTTTTGGCTTTGTTGAGTACTTTTATCTCTGAATTTATTAAAGAGTTAAGTACTTAGTTCGACCTTCATCACTTATACACTTAATTTTTTTAAATGGTAATATACATTTTTAACTTACTTATGAAATAGAAAATATTCTAATTTAACTAATGACTGATCGATAATAACTATTGTACTTCGGAAATTATTACTATTTTTATATTTAAGCAAATGGAGATGTGCGATCGTGAAACGTCTAATGATATTAAATAGTCATTAATAAATTGAAAATTACACAACAATGGCAACAAATTCATTGATTATTTAATTAATTCGATATATTATTAAAATGGACAGATATTTGAGAAAATGAGTACTGAACATTGAACACAAGTAGTAAGAGCAACAAATTTAAATAATCGAATGAACAAAATTAAAGGGTCACCATTGTATATTACATTGAATATATTGGATGAGAGAACGTGACTTAGCGGCCAAATAGTAAGATACAAAATATAAGATCCTAGATTACAGAATAGTCAGTCAGTTGCGTTCGGTCGTGTCCCGCGGGTAGGAATTAAGTTCATAAGCAAACTGGCAACGTTGCTACCATAAGTCTGTATACTTAAAAGGGACAGAGCTTTGAAATCGTTTTAAGACTTAAGAATTCTACACGTTGCCGGATTGCTTATTAACTTACATTTTATTTGAATTTGTCGCCGTGCTCACGTCTGCTGAAAACGGTTGTTTGAATTTGTCGCTCAACTATACCAAAATTATTGTTACTAATAGACCGTGCGGTTGGGCTATTTTTCTATTTGTTATTTGTTGCCCATTAGTATAGTAAATAAATTGCATTTATAAAATGTATGTTGTTTGTTATGTCGGCTTAAACAATTTTAGTACAAATTATTCAAGCACCATTTTTACTAGATTAAATTTATTCTTTTTTAGCAGAAATATTTTGTTTGATATAAATTTCAATTTTTTTTTATAATTTATTTAAAATTATACATATAATGTAATTTATAATAATTTAATTGGCTATGCACTGCAATAACTTTTAATATAAAATTAAAAAATTTTCTTTTCAAAATTTTAAACTTAAGAAATGTATAAAACTATTATATAAAAATTGTGTGAAATATTACTAAACATATTTGTTTTTTAATTAACTTTACACAGTGATTGTTTTATCATTGACCACTTAATTTCTCCAAAAGTTATAACAATCTAGAAAATATTTTTTTTTGCTTTTGTTATTAATATAATATTAATTTATAAGTGGTTAAATATTTTATAAGTCTTTCCTTCATTCCTTAAAGACACCAACTTTATTTTTTAAAAGGCAACATAAGTTATTAATTTTCTTAAAAATAGAAAATGTCTAATTAAAAAAACGACTGGTCAATAATAACTTTTCGATCATTATTTCGGAAAATGCAAGTTTTTATAGAAGACGGGTGAAGGAGTGTGGTCGTGAAATAATGTTAAGAGTTAATAATAGTTACACCCGATTACTAATACGCTAGAGCTTTAAGTTGAATTTATATAACAAATTGGCGATAAATGAATTGATTTTTTTTTAATTCAAAGGGCAGCTATTTGAGAAACTTAATACTAAAGTCAATCGTGCCAAGAAGTAAGAGCGACAAATTCAAATAACTGGTCGAATGAAGTATCATAAAGGCAGTGGTGGTTCGTAGGTGCTGGTGGTAGGGTTGCTACTTTAAATATAATACCGCTATTTATAGGTATAAAAAATTGTCAAATTAATTATGATAAAATAAAACACAATACACATATTATTATTTTAAAGGTCGTAGTAGAAAATAGAAATTAAAATAACATTAATAATAATAATAGCGATTATACTATTATGGCAAACAATAACGACGAGCGTACACGTTGTTAATTCTAAAAATCAATTATGCAATGTTAATAATATATTAATGTTTTACCGTATGGACGACGCTGCCGGTCGTTCAAAATCCGTACATAAGATTGCAGCTAAATGGTACCTGCACGCACACGATTGGTCGCCTCGTTTATGTGTATACGTTTCAAAATATTGTTCGAACAACACTGTTGATCGTCCAAACACTGCTCGTGTGATTATGTGTACCGCATATACTGAGGGAAACAACTTTAATGTTCGCGCACGACAAAATTTGTCTTAAAATTATATAATACATTTAATGTATTATAACTATTTTATTATTTAAAAATGTACATTTCTAATAAAAATGTAGAATTAAGAATATACAATTAATTTTCTTCTTTTAATTAATTTTAGTAGGAGGTGCGATCGTCCCGTCGTCCAAACCGCCACTGCACAAAGGTATAGTACAGTCAATACACTGCATGAGAGAACGCAACTTGGCGTCTTATTGGTAAGATAGAAACATCTTGTCTTATTTAATAGTCACTCAGTTGCATGGCCTGGGGTATATTAATAATTTTAGAAATATTTTTTTTTTGCTTTGTTGAGTACTATTTATCTTTCAATTTATAAATGGTTAAATACTTTTTAGGTTCGTCCTTTATCCCTTATAAGAATACTAACTTTTTTTTTAGCTGGCAATATACATTTTTGACTTGGTTTAATTTAAAAAAAGACTGGTCGAATTGTACTAGTATTTTGGAGATTATTACAATTTTTATGTGAGTAATTTATTTTTATTATGAGTAAAATGCGAGAAACGTCCAATTATAAAATAAGCGTAAAATTAAAAAATTAAAATGGAAATAATAAGCGCAAGACGTCTTTAACTCTCTGAGCCCTTTAATTGTTTAGATTTATCAAAGCAACGTAGCCAGTTTGCTTATAATATATCTGTGATTTGAATTTGACACTTACGACATAATTGATTACAGTATTCATTTTTCATATATCTGACTCGTGGAATTTATCAATGAATTTGTCGGCATTTCTAAAATATTTGTTCTCTTCTGCTGTAAACGGTTGTTTGAATTTGTTGTCGCTCAAATATACTAAAATTATTGCTATTAAAAGACCGTTCGTCGAGTTATTTTTCTATTCGTTATTTATTGCCCATTAGTTTTGTAAATAAATTGCATTTATAAAATGAATGTTGTTTATTATGTCGACTTAGTCAATTTTTGATACAAATTATTCAAGCACCACTTTTATTACATTAAAGTTATTCATTTTTAAGCAGACATGATTATTATATTTGATAGAAATTAAAAATTTTCTTTTTATATTTTATTTATGGTTATATATATAATGTAATTTATAATAATTTAATTGGATATGTACTGTAAAATATGAATCATTTTTTTAATTTATGAATTTTATAAATATAAAAAACTGTTACATAAAAGTTGTGTGAAATATTACTAAAATTATTTTAAATGTGTTTTATTATATTTAAAGAGTGATTGATTTATCATTGACCACTAAATTTTTCTTAAACTAATAATCCTAGAATTATTTTGTTTTGCTTTTTAATTTGCATTTCATTTGAATTGTCGCCGTTTTTTAAATATTATTCCCGTCTGCTGAAATCGATTGTTTGTTTTGTCGCTCATCTATACTAAAATTATTGCTATTAATAGACCTGTTCGGATGTTATTTTTCTATATGTTATTTATTACTCATCAGTATTGCATTGTAATATTTAATATTAATAAATTGAATTTATAATATGTGTTATTGTTTATTATGTTCGCTTAGTCAATTTTTTGTACAAATTATTAAGTACCACTTATACTATATTATAGTTATTCTTTTTTGTTCTATTTTTAGCAGATATTGTTGTTATGTTTGATGTAAAGTTTTAATTTTTTTTTACATTTAATTTTAACTAAATATGTATTGTAATTTACATCTATTAAATTATAGTTGAAAATAATCTACATAAGATAACCAATCCTCACAAAAAAAATTAACCAAATTGATACTTTATAGTAGACAATTTTACTATTATTGTTATGTTTTAACTACAATCATAATTATAATTTCAATAAACGTTTAGTCTCTTGTAATATATAGATTTTGATTTTTGCCAAAAAAAAATTGTTTTATCATTAATCAAATTAGTCAAATTTTTATTTTAAGTTTTAAATTTTCTTTTTAGATTTCTTTTGAGATTATTATATTTATATAATGTAATTAATAATAATTTAATCGGTTATGCACTATAATAACTTTTAATTTAAATTTTATAAATATAAATAATTGTTTACAAAACTATGAAATTTATAAAATTGATACATAAAACTTGTTTAAAATATTTTTGAAATGTTGTTTAATTAGCTTTAAATAGTGATTTATTTATCATTGACCACTAAATTACTTCTAAAATAATGATAATCTTGGAAGTATTTTATTTGGCTTTGTTGAGTTCTATTTATCTCTCAATTTATAAATGGTCAAATATTTTTTACGTTCGCCCTTTATCTCTCAAAATGTACAAACTTTATTTTTTTAGTTGGCAACACACATTATTACCATACTTAAAAAATAGAAAATGGTCTAATTTAAAAAATTACTGGGCGATAATGATTATTAGACAAAGAATTTATTAGGATTTTTATCTTTAGGCAGATTGAAATGCGTGGCTATGTAACGTCTAATGATAAAAATGGTCATACATATATAGAGCACTAAATTGAAAATTACATAACTATTTGGCGACAAATTTATTGATTATTTAATTAATTTTATAAATAAATTTTATAATTTTGATAGACAGATACTTGAAAAAATGAAGAAGTCAATCGACACAAGAGTAGGAGCGATAAATTCAAATATTCAGATGAACAAAATATAGTGTCAATAATGTATAATACAATAAATATATTGCAGTAGAAAACGTGACTTCGTACCAAACAATCTGACAACGTTGCTTCGATAGGTTTGTATAATTATAAAGGACAGTGCGTTTAAATCGTACTTTAAGCTGTTCTCGTGGAAAGGATGGTGTCTTCTCTTTATACACCCCCAACGCCTTGAGGCGTTGTGATCTAATTCCTCAGTAGTTGCTGCTGGCGTTGTTGTTGCAGTTTTCGTGACTAGAGTGGTTGAGGTTAGAGGGGTTATCTCCCTGACGTCCATTCCGGGACGTCGTTAGGAACCATACCAAACGTATCGGCCTGATCCATACGGCCTTTCCAGTCGAAGTGGAAACAGCAACAAAGTTTCAGAGTACCTCCATATATGGGGCTCGGGCAGATTTGACAAAGATTTAGTTTGGTCTATGACTTGTACGCTTTAATACATAAGCGCAATTAGAATAAAATTGTTGAGGCTAAACATATTTCCTACCTTAAAATATATTTTCATGTTATTATATAAATGATTTTCTACATTTTTATTTACTAAAAACTAATAACTATAGGGGGATTAAGGACCTCGCTAACTCTCTTTCTAGTTGCGTCTATGTTTAAATATAACTTTTTACATTAAAAAATATTTATATTAAAAGGCGGGAAATTATTCAGTGTTTACAGCGGCACACTAGTCAAATGCCGACACTAACCTTATTACATTACAACGTAATACATAATGTCTTATTTGTCTAGGCGTAAATACGGCTCCGTTGATAATGTTAATTTTTGTGTAATAATAATACAATTTACGCCAATAAGAGAATAATATTAGTATATTTTAATATTTATTTTTATTAAATACTAAAATAATTGTAGTACACTATCGAATATAAAAATATTGGTGTTTATTTAAAAAGCGGAAAATAAAATAGTGTGTTCTTTGAAATAAATGTGTAATAAAATTTTATAAGATAGATTCTAGATTTCATTGTAGAAATAAAAGATTTTTTAAATTTTAAATGAGCTTTTATTTTGCTCATTAAATAATCAGTTTATTCAGTCTTATATATTATTTTATAATATGTGTTCATTTTAAAACAAAGGTTAATTTAAAGACAAAATTGTTTTCTATTATCATTTGATAATATATTTTCGGAGTGCGCACCTGAATTTTAATATCCGATTATTATAATTTATTTTGTCAATCAGTATTTTCCTTATCAATGTTTATCAGTGTATTAAAAGTGCCACAAAAAAACAATTTTTCTCATAAATATTAGTCTTTAAAATACTATTCTCGGGGTATTTTCTGAAGTAATGCGGTTCTGAAAAATTTGACCCATTTTAAATGACGATCTCTTAAATATTATTCCTAATAGATATTGTTCTATGATAGACTATTTTTGTAATTCCGCAAGTTATAGTGTTATCTTAATTTTTATTGGCGATTAAACTTATTAAAGAATGAAAAATTGTTGAATCTCATTATTTTGTGCATTTATATCAAAATAATTGATAAATTTGATTATATTTACGATTGCAAGTGTATAACCTATTCTGTGATTTTCTGATAATTAAGTTATAACTTTTATTTTATTTACAAATTTCATGATGAAATATATGTCAACTATTGAAAATTATACTTCTTAAGATTTTTTTACAGTAATGATGAGAAGTGTTTATTTACTTTTCTTCATTTTTACATTAAGAACTGTTTTATGTAAGTATTCATTATATTTTTCATTCTAGATCATACAAAATTAGAAGTGTTGGTTTTTTCAGCTTCAATTCACAAGAATCTCAGATATTTTGAAACGTTGCATGTTTCTGAATTTTCCCATAATATTGTAAAGCGTGGAACAACTGATAGTCCCCATCCATTGAATAAAATTAAAGAAGTATCTTTTACCACATTAGGAAAGTAAGAGAATAACAAAATGATAAAAACAGTAATCTTTCTATACAAATTTTTTTTTATTATTCACAGAGATTTTAGATTAATTTTATCACCAAAAAAGGGTTTACTTCATCACCAATTTGAAGCTATAACAGTTGATGCAGAAGGTGTTGAAACTCCAGTTGCAGTGGGTATGTTTAAAACATATTGTTAATCAAAATTTTATTTTAAACTAACATTATTTTATGTTTTTTTACATTATCTTTTTTATAATCAAATAAAAAATTTTCCTTAGACCATGAAAACTTTTATGATGGTCGTGTTTTTGGGGAGACTACTTCATATGCTAATGTACATTTAGATGATGGTGTGATGACTGCTATTATTGATATACCAGGAGAAACCTATCACATTGAAGTAATATTTATTTTACCTAATATATTTCTAAATATATCTTTCATTAAATTTTCATCATTTAGCCATCTTGGAGACATTTGCCTGATAAAGATAATAAAACAATGGTCACATACAAAGCATCAGATATCCGTTTAAGTTGGGAACATTCAGGTCAAAAACAACATAAACCTTGTGCTTATGTAAAAGAAGATGCAGGTTAGTTTGAATTCTATATCTATAAAATCTATATATTTTTTTGTATCAAATTTTTACTGATATTAAAAATTATTGATTGTTATTCACTACATACATTTTTAAGGTAGGAATTACAAAAAGTTAATAATTATTCAATATTAGGGAAGTCTAGGGGAAGGATTAGAATTTAATAGTCCTTATATGCACATAGAAAGGGTTTTAGAAACTTATCCTTGTTAAGTCAAAATTTTATTTGTATTAACAGTACAGGATGATAAATTTATTTTGATCGTAATTAATTAATTAATTTTAAGTGTGCATTTTAAATTCTATTTAAGACTATTTATATTATAAAAAATTATATGTTATAGAAGTAGAAACTGTAGATGACGATGATGATCAAAAAAATAGCCTGCATTCTATTTCTAGAACTAAGCGTGATACTGACTCATATGATTACATGGTAACTCCAACAAGAACCCGATGTCCTTTATTGTTAGTTGCAGATTATAGATTTTTTAGAGAAATGGGAGGAGGTGATACAAAAACAACAATTAATTACTTAGTAAGTCTCAATATTTTTTTACTTACTATAAAATTATAATTTGTTTAAGTCAAAAAATAAATTAAAATAAATATTACACCTTCTAACTGAATTTTTTAGATAAGTTTAATTGATCGTGTGCATAAAATATACAATGATACTTTGTGGTTGGAAAGACAAGAATCTGATGGATTTAGAGGTATGGGTTTCGTTATAAAAAAAATTACTGTACACAGTGATCCAACCAAAGTACGCAGTTCAGAAGATCATTACAATATGGTTAGAGAAAAGTGGGATGTGCGGTCTTTACTTGAGGTATAATTTTTACTCTATTGTTTGAAAAACAATTTAATTTGTTATTATTTTTTAAAAAATTGATATTATTTATCATGATAAATTTTACACGAATAAAAAATTAGTTTAATAAGGTGATTATTTTTTTTCTTTTGTATTTAGTAATATGTTTGAATATCCTTCAAATATAATTTTGATGAAGGTCTGATATTTATATATTGTTTCTGGAAAAACTATTCAATTATGTTTAAGTTTCAGTACTGATAAAATAAATTATTTTCTATATTACATAACCTTTATTTAAGTAAAATTATTATTTTGTTATACTCATGGAAGGTTAATAATTAAAATGAACAAATGTATTCTATTTATATGGATTAGGAATTTTCAAAGGCAAAAGACATATCAAATTATTGTTTAGCTCACTTGTTTACTCATCAAGCTTTCAAATCAAAACAGTCATCAGTTTTGGGCCTTGCATATATAGCCTCTCCGAGAAGTTATGCATATGGTGGCATATGTAGTCCTGGTGAATACTGCATACTATTATAGTATTGGTTGATATTTATAATAAATTAAGTACACAAACATTTCTACATAAAAAATAAATTAATGCTTTGGGATATTAATAACTAAAAAACTTAATGTCTTATATTTTTTTAAATGTATTTTTAAAACGTTCACAATTTTCTATAATGGTTATAATAGTGATATGATAAACTGTTAACTAAATTGTATCCCTAACTTAATCTTTATTAATTTATTTAATAATATATTAATGATAATATATTTATAATATATTGATATATATTGATAATATATTTATGATAATAATTTAATAATATATTATGATTTATTAATATATTCAAAAAAATTAGTTACAGCTTAGGCTTCAATTAAATTTTTTTAGCTTAGAAGCTATTGGTTTTATTCTAACGTGTTTTAATACACAATTACTTTGCTCCTATTGAACTGATTTTGCTCAACAAAAAACCACATAGCGTATCAAATTAAAGCTATTAGTATAATTTAAAAAAATTCCCCTTAGACTTCTCATTAAACATTTACTTTACCGACAATATACTTTTTTTGAAAATCCAATAATTTATTAAGGTATTATAGGAGCTTGAAAATCAAATTAAAATTTTTTTATATGCAATTTTTGACAATGCTCCAAAAAAACTTACCTTATTTAAACTTACCATCAAATTAAAGTTAATTTTCTTTAAGTACATTAATATCTTTTGTATTAATGCAATGTAATTTAATATTATAAAATAAAAATTATCCAAAAACTGGATTTCTAAGAGTTATTATACATTAAATATAAAAATCATACAACTTTTGGTAAAAATGACTGAAATGTTTTTTGCATAATAACGGAACATCTAAATTGTTCAATTCTAAATCATATTCTAGTTTATTTATACACTATATGATTAAAAAAAGAAATATGTTCCAACAACTTGTCTTCTATTAGTAATTGGCCACTAAAGTCCAAAATCTTGTAAGTTTTAGTGGATATTTAATATTTTTCTAATTTGTTTCAAATATGCATAGAATCATTTTTGATAACTGTCAGATATCAATCAATACTAATCTAATATTTATCTCAACTTTACTTAGCTGAATCCTTAATGTCTTTTTCTTTTTCCTCGCCTTAATCCCAACTACTTGAGGTCGGTTACCCTTATCCTATACTTTCACTTCACACGATCTCCCACATCATCTACGCACATATCAGCTATATCGTATTAAATATCATCCCTTCATTTCTTTATTGTTCTTCCTATACCTCTTTTTCCTTGAACATTCATTTCTATATCTGTTCTAACAGCTTCAGATTCTTGTCTCCTTATAACATAACCAAACCATCTAAGTCTATTTTCTCTCATCTTATCTACGATTGACGCTACACCTATACTCCTTATATATCCATTCCTTATCTTATCTACTATAGTTCCACTCATTCATTTAAGCATTCTCATCTCTGCTACACTCATTCTTTGCTCTACTCTTTTGTCAACTCCCCAACACTTTGAACCATACATCATAGCTGGTCTCATTATAGTCATATAGAACTTACCTTTCAGCCTCATTAAAATTATTTTATCACATAACACACCAGATACTAAGTCAAAAAACTGAACCGGTTCTTTATTATTTTTGTTTCTCTTCTTATTCTTTTGTCTTTTACATTTTCCCAATTCTTCATATTACGACTCATAAGCTTTATACCTATATAAATTCCACACTTTTGTATATCTCCTTTGCCTTTAAATGTCAGTACCACAATACTATTCTTCTTATCTTTTGGCATTTCCCCTTCTAATAAGATTAAAAAGATTCTTCAACCATCTTATGCCAACACCGCCTAATATTATCCATACTTCTCTATAGAAGTATATAGAAGTCTATAGGTACTTCATCTGGTTCTGATGCTTTATTTTTTTTCATTGATGTCACCTTCCTAACCTTCCTACCTCTTTCTCACTAATTAAATCTACCAGTACCTCGTTCCATGAGATCCTCTAATGTCTCTTTTGGATACTCCACATTCAGTAATTTTTCAATATACTCTTTTCATCTTTTTTTTTTTACATCATCATCACTCGATTGCATCCTCTTATCAACACTTTTTATACACCTTACATAGTGATAATTTTTAGACCTTTTTTCTCTTACTTTTGTAAGTCTATTGAGTTCTTTTTCTTCTTCCTTTGTTCCTAGCTTATCATACTTCTTAAACTTTGCTTTATTTACTGCACACTTGGCTTCTTTGCATAAGCATTTTTACTCTATCCAATCTTCTCTCCAGCAGGAAGCTAGATCCCTAATGCACTTTACTTTTTATAGTTTGATTTTAAATTTGGATTATTTTATGATACATTTAAGAGTTAATTTAAAATATAGTTTTTCATATCATAGAAGAAAAATTTAATTCTGAAATACATTTTGTATTAATTTGGTATGTTTCTAATAAATGCTAACAAATACTAATACTAACAAATGAGTCATTCTTTTGCATAAGAATGCATGTTAAATTTTTTTTTTTTGAACTTTGCTTTTACCTATATTGTTATGAACTAATTTGTAAAAAGTATAAAGCATAATAACAAAACACATTTTTTTGTAACTAGACAACTCTAATAAAAAGACACTAAATGATTTGATAGCAAACTAATTTAAGATAATATGTTTCATAAGACTAATTGTGTTTAACTCTTTAAAACTAGTTAACTTTATAAAGTTTTAGTTATCAACTTATACTTTTATGTTTTTGTACTACTTTTTATATACTTATAAGTAATTTAAGAATCAAGTTTTAAATTGATTAATTTTAATTTTTGAAAAAAAATGAATATATTAATGCATTTTAAGTATTTAAATTCAAGTGGGTTCATTCTCATTCTTAATTTGTCTATTTTATAATCTTATCCATTAAGAAATGTAATTATAAAAAAAATAAGCTAATGATATTTTATGATTTGGTAATGGTGAATTTTATAACTATCTATTAACTATATGCACTTTGCTTGTTATGATGTATTTGCATGTTAATAATAAAAAATTTTCCTATTTATAAATGGTTTTGGTGATAACAGGTTTTTAGCAGAGAATATAGTCACAAAGACTTTTGCTTAGCTCATTTGTTTACTGACTTAAAATTTGAAGGCGGTATCTTAGGGCTTGCTTATGTTGGGTCACCTAGACGTAATTCTGTTGGTGGAATTTGTACACCAGGTGATGGAAAATTAATATAAATTAAAAGTTCTAAACAAGACAAATTTTGTAAAATATATGTAATTTTACAGAATATTTCAAAAACGGTTATACGTTATATTTAAACTCTGGTCTTAGTTCAAGTCGTAACCATTATGGCCAACGTGTTATCACGAGAGAAGCAGACTTAGTTACTGCTCATGAATTTGGTCATAATTGGGGTTCAGAACATGATCCTGACATCACTGAATGCAGTCCAACTGCAAGTCAAGGTGGATCCTTTCTTATGTATACATATAGTGTTAGTGGATATGATATCAATAATAAGGTAAAAAATTTATGATAAAAATGGACCAAAATAAATCTTATGTTTAAACATAAAATATATTTATTCTTGTAGCGCTTTTCTCCATGTAGCTTAAGATCTATTAGAAAAGTATTACAAGCAAAATCTGCTCGTTGTTTTTCTGAGCCAGAAGAATCATTTTGTGGAAATTTAAGAGTTGAAGGTAATGAAGAGTGTGATGCTGGATTGTTGGGTACTGAGGATAATGATAATTGTTGTGATAAAAATTGTAAACTAAGAAGAGCTCAAGGTGCTCGTTGCAGGTAAATTATGGCTTGTAAAAAACTTTGAGCATTTATTAATTAAAACATTTTTTTAGTGATAAAAATTCACCTTGTTGTCAAAATTGTCAATTCATGGCATCTGGAGTGAAATGTCGAGAGGGTCAATTTGCTACATGTGAACAAGAGTCACGCTGCACAGGTACTGGAGCTGAATGTCCTAAGAGTCCACCTATGGCTGATGGCACAGGTTGTTTAGAAAGAGGTCAATGTCGTTCAGGAAAATGTATTCCATTTTGTGAAACACAAGGGCTTCAAAGTTGCATGTGTGATACAAGTAAGCAAATTATAAATGTATAATTTTAATAGTATTTTACATAAATTATTAATTATTGTTATATCAAAAATGATTTTTATAGTATTGGAATCTTGTAAACGATGCTGTCGTATCAATTTGAATGCTACATGTTATCCTGTAGATCCTCTTGATGATTTACCTGATGGAACACCTTGTATTCAAGGATTTTGTAATAAGGTATTATTATTTCTTGATTACTAGTGTTTTAATCAAATTTAAAATTTAATTTTAATTTTGTTCTTTCCAATTTGATATTACATGTTTAATTAATATAATAAGTTAATGAGTTGAAATGATTCTTAGAACAAAACTTAATTTTTCCTAAAAAATAATTATTAAATATAAAAAATTCTAAAAAATATTATTTACATAAAATTTATATTTATTCGATATTTTTAAGGATTCTTTATATTCCATATCAATTCACTATTATGTATGTTACAGCTCATTCTTTTATTCATTTCTGAATACTTGAAATTAACTTGTTATGTAGTAAATCTGTAAAAAAAATTGCAGAGTATAATTTTTAACTAGCTATCAATGTATGGATTAAAATTTGTATAATTTTTAGGGTTTGTGTGAAAAAACTATTCAAGATGTTGTTGAAAGATTTTGGGATATTATCGAAGAAATAAATGTCAATAAAATGTTACGATTTTTTAAAGATAACATTGTTGGGACTGTAATATTAGTAACTGGTTTAATTTGGGTCCCAGCTTCTTGTATAATTAATTGGTTAGATCACAAACGTGTTAAAGAAGCTCGTGACAAAAGGAAATGGGAAAATCAAAACAATTTTGTTCAAATGTCGAACGATGCTAAACCAAAAAAAATAATTTATATCAAAGTACCTGCGAATCGTAATGGAAATATCAAAGATGATCAAAATATGTAATATATTGTTAACTTCATATAAAGTTAAATTATTTATTGATTCATTTAATATTTTATGTTTAATTATATAAAACTATTATCTTAAAAATCAAATTTAGTTTGTAATTAAACTGAAGTGATTAATTTATAAATTTTGAAAATTCTAGTCATGTTTATGTGCTATATTTACATTATACATTCTATACATTTAAATTTTTTTTCATTCTATAAAAATATAAAATTTCAAAAAAAAAAAATTAATATTGGTAAAGTATTATTGTTATTATATATTAACGTAATAATTATATATTTTTTATTTTTTACATTTATTCTCATTATCTAGATATTTTTAATTTTAATTAATTTTTATTCTGTAATTTAACTATTTCAATCATTTCCTTCCAAAATAAAATTATACGAGTTCTAGATTTTAATTACAATTTTATTTTCTGTTATCTAAGAAATATATCTCTATTAATAATAATAATTTAAATTGTAAATATTTTATGTATATATATTAATTTTTTGATGTCATGTGAAATCATTTTTAGGAAATAAAAAACTTTGGCATAACTTATGATACACAAATTACATTTATTATTTCAATTTTTAAAAACAATGTTTAATACTTCAAGTAAATTATGTACAAAATTATTTAACAAAACAATGATAAAATAAAATTACAATTATTAAATTATGTAACAAATATAAAAATTACTTATTTATTAATTATTTTAACTAATAGCTGATCAAAATAATATAAAATTAATTTGTTAAGTCTATTATAATACAATTATACATAATTATAAATAAATTGTAATTGTTAACAATTATTGACAATAAAATGTCAATAAGAAGTTATTTAATGTAATATCAAAAATGGTTTCAAGTAATTATTTTATAAAAAAAATTTATAAGAAACCTGGAATGTTTTACAACAATTTTATTTTATAAATATAACCAAAATATAAATTATTTCAACTTAAATAAAATAAATCCTATATAAGTTATTTCCATACAAACTTTAAAAGTTTAAAGTAATGAATATAGCTTTATAGATTAAACATTCAGGTAAAAAAAAAAATAAATCAAAATTGCATCTTTCCCTTGACTAATACTACTCTAATTTTTGTGTACAATTAAACTAACCTATTGTTGGTATTTAAAAAAAGGAAAATTTTGTCATGTTAATAATAATAATTTATTACTTTAAAAATGTATGAGATTTTGCAAAAAAAAACTATAATTTAAAGCAAAATTTGAAATTTAAATGATTAAATATAAAATTTTAATTTTATGTTACTAAATTATAAACAACTTTTTTTTATATAAGCAGAGAAAAAATAATTTTTTTTTATAATACTAGATTTACAATTTCTTTTAATAACTGTTAATATAAATCTAACATTCTTTAGTAGAATCATATTGAAAAAATATAACTTCAATTTATACATAACATTATCTACTTTAAACAATCATAAAAAAATGTATTGAGCATTAACTTGGCTTCTATATAAATATTAGGTTGATAATATAAGCATGTTTGTCATAAAGTTGTGCAATATTTAAAAAGTGAAACTTATCTAACAACTTAATTACTTGGAAAAATATGCATAACATATGTCAGGTACAAAAGTAAAATAGAAATGGAATTAAGAATTTATACTAATTATTATTAAAATCCACTTACTTATACTATCGATTAAAAATAAAAAAATCGTTTTTAATCAATGCTTAGTTAAAAGCTACCTTTTATTGACTTCTGAATATATTGAATTGTGATTTATTTCATTTAAATCTATTTTTAAGCTTTCATAATTGGGATCATTTTCCACATATTCAGCTGTAATTGTTCTAGTTAAACTTGCATAGTCTGGTTCAGATTGATTGTCAACTTTTTTTATCCGAGCATAACCATGATTTGTTGGTCTTAACTCTTCGTAATTGGGATCTATATCTAATGACCGAGGAAGATTTGGTTCAACTAATCTGTCATAAATACCTTCATCGTAAAGAGCTGAAGGCATTATAGGTGCAGGTAACTGTTCAGAAGAATCATTACGTTTTTTCATTACTTTTGCATACATTTCATCAAGATGTTCAGGTGGTTTGGGTAATGGTGAATTAGCTGGACGTTTTTCAGGTTTTGGAGAATTAGTGCTAACATTACTGGAAGAGGAATCTTAAAAAAATATATACATATTAACATAAGTGCATATTTATTTTAAAAGTAAGTAAAAAATTTTTCACCTTTTCTGGAATGTGTGAGAGTTTGTTCATTTTCATTATTATGTGATGTTGACGGGTAGATATTATTAGCTGCCATTGAAACGGGGGCATTATTAATACTAGGTATTTGGGCATATGTTTCACTACCACTAGTGTAAACATTATTTGTTGGATCAATGATTGCAGCATACATTTCATCTATTATAAATAAATCATCAGTCATGAATATTAGATGTTAGTATTGTTATAAGAAATTTTACCTGAATCATCAGAAACAAAAGCATAATGAGAATCAGTAGATATACCATTACCATTTTGAATGTTAGTCATAATTCTAGATAATGGTTCTCGAACACTTATACTGGTATATCCTTCTATTAAAATATGATAGTTAATTTAAGTGAGTTTGATTAAATATAAAAAAAAAAAACTTACTACTGGAGTCATGTGAATCACCACTGTAATGACCCTGTCGTATCTGTTCATTTAGAGGATTTTCAGTTGGACCTATAGGTGGAGTCATGTATGGTATATTGACACTAGCTGATTCATCACCAGCAATAACACTAGCTGCAGCAATATCTTGATCGGGTATTCCTCTATCTACAACATCCATATCAATAGATTCAGAGGAACTAGATTTTTCTATTCTGTAAACAAAATAATCAATAGTATATAATATTTTAAAATCTTATAAGGAAAAAAAATTAATAAAATTTGATGAGCTGATGATGATAATGTTTTCTAAAAAAATATGTTCCATAGTTTAAAGAAAATTATTTTTACTCTCAGAATTAGATATATAAATTTTTTTTCAGATTCTAAGTTCCATTATAGGGCATTACAAAGAGGTTTCTTAATCATTTACATTTTAGGATGGATTAAGTCTATTACTGGACAGAGGAATGGAGACTACAAATACTAAATTGATACGTAGTTGAGCAAACAGAGTCATCCATGATTGAGTATCGAACCTAAGATAGTACGCCAGATATGAACTGCCGTCTTACCATCTCGGGCACATTTTACAATTATATTACTAATATTAAAATACTGAAATTATGAAGAAAGCTTAACAGTTTTTCTTTAAAAATAAATACATTATAATTTAAACTAAAACACACTAGTACCTATATTGTATAAATTTTAATTATTTGTTTTAGTAAAATGTGTAGAAATTAAAAAATAAATGATTTTAATAAAAACGTAGTGCTTTGGTGCTAAATTTTGTGAATTAAAGAATAAAAAGCATAAAATAATTTGTAGATAAACTATTTATTAGTATTAGTAGATTGAAGTTATTGGATTAGTAAAAATTAAATTTATAACATGCTAAAAATAATCTTGATAAATGCTTTAAAAAGTTACCTTTGTGAATTATTAGCCTGATTATTTTGATTATTAACACCAACTTTGGCATAAGGATGCTCTTGAAGCAGTTTGTCATATGGATTTTCTTTTTTTACACAAGCATAAACGCATTCACTTTTAGATGCATTTTCATCACTGGAAGGTGATAGGATATTATTTTTATATTTTAATGAATCTGCTTTATTTTCATTTTTATTTTCTTCTACTGTTGCATATAATTCTGAATTAGTATCGCCACCATACCATACAGCCGTAGCAACTGCGTCTGACCCTCTAGGAGTTTCAACTGGCAAATCAGGAAGGCTCCTAGTAGCTGATGATAAGGTTGCTCCAGCAGAACTCCTATAAAGTCAAATAAAATAATAATACACAAAATTATACAGGGTTCAAAAAGTAAGGTAACAGGTCAATTTTTACGAAGAATGTGAACAATAGAAACCTTTTTCCTTACTTATTGAACACCCTATAAATAATAAGTGTTAAACTTCATAGAAGTTATAAAACCTTTTAGCACTATTTGTGGGTGAAGGATTGGTCGATAAGTTCTTATCAATAAGTTCAGGTTCAATGTCTGGATTTGTGATTTTAACCATGCCAGCAAGCCCAAGTAGTTCATTTCTAATGTATCAAACAAGCAAATTAAAAAAAAAAAAATCACATGCTTAATGTACCATACAAAGCAAGTAATTTGTATATATATATATACTAAGGTGACCGTTAAAATACAAATAAATGAAACCCGATTTTGCCATTCCTTTAAATTGTTTTACTACATATAAAAATAAGCTGTGCAAAATTTAAGACTGAAATGAAAAGGTCAACATGAGCCTTTTACTGACCTAGTTAATCTTTTCAGAGGCATGGCTGTGAAGTTATTCTGATATTTATTGATGTTGAAAACAATGAAGTAATTAGATTTCACTTAACATTAGCAGATTTTTAATTATACAAAATACATTATTTGATACAATTATGAACTATATAAATGAATGAAAAATTTGTTTTCCTCATGAAAATTTAAATAAAAATGTGTAAATTTGATTTAATTTTTAACAATAATTTCAATAAATATTTAAGAAAGTAGAGTATAACAGTATTTGATTAATTTCTATGGTAAAAAATTATAAAAAAGAAAAAATTATAATTTTTTTTTTTCAGAATTTTGAGAGTCTACATTTTTCTTGTTCTAAATAGCAAATATAGAGACTTTTGATTGTTTAAACTATAAAATATATTTTTAATATTCTTTAACATTTTTTATATTTGGCTCAACAACTGTAACTGTAAGTTAAATATCAAAAATCTTTTAGTGAAAAGTACAACTACTTTTTTATAAATAACGATTTTATTCAAATTCAAAGGCCAAAATACCTCTGAAAAATCACAAGTTTTAACAAGAAAATGTTATTAAATATCCCAGGGGCCTTCGAGAGGATTGATTTTTCTTTAATTTAAAGCGTATATACTTTTTGAAATATTTTATTAATCATTTGCACTGACTTCCCAAAATTGAAATAATAATAGTTTACTCAAAAAAAGGAATAAAGAGTAAAATATTGTTGTTAATTTGAAAATCTTGAATATTACATTTTAGTTTTATAAATTAACTGTTATAATTGCAAATTATAAAATATTTTCATTGTTTACTTAAAACATAGATTATATTTAAAAAAAAATTTTATTTTTACTATCCAGTGATCAGTAGTGATTTTGTAAAATATTCTTTCATTTATGAGTTTCAAAAATTAATTTTTTAATGAACATCCTAATATGTACTAGTAAACCTCTAAACTACAAAGAAAAATTGCAGAATTTAAAATCTTAAGGTAGGCGTTTTAAAGACTTACAAAAAATAATGATCTTTAATTAGCAATAAGTCATTCATAAATGTAAATAACTATGTGCAGCTAAATAATATGATAAAACAATTCAGCAAAAAATTTTATTAAAAATATTTCTTGAAAATTATTCTTATAGTAAATTATGCTTTATTTTGTTAAGACTTGACAAAGTGAGGATCTATTTAAAACAAAAATATTTGACAATATATGAATAAAGTAATAAAAATAATTCTTTAACTATTTAGACAAGTTTATGGATTGCTACATAGTAACTTAACAACAATACAGAGGGGTCCACAATGTTTTGATAAGTTTAGTAACTTTTGATTTACTAAGTATGTGTTACTTTTATTCTTAAATAATTTTTACATTTTTAAACTACATTAAAATCATATATTTTTTTTATTTGTTTTAATATTAGAAAATATGATTTTAATGTACTCGATGAATGCATAAATTATTTTTAAAAAAATCACTGTAAAATATTTAGTAGATCTAGTTATTAGATTTTTCAAATGTTATGGAACACTATATATATTACACATTCCTAATCATCTTTAGGAACAAAAAAAAAAATTACTTAATATTAACACCAAATAATATAATAGTATTGAACACAGATGCACATTAAACGCTTTAGATAAAATTAATAAATAAGACACCTACTTGGGAACAGATTTATGGCATCCACAGATACAAGCAAAAATCAGTAGAATGGTGGTAAACAAAAGACCACCAGACACAAACCATATTAAACTGTCTTCAATCATTATAACACAGCTTTGTTAAATAACACTTTTTAATCGCATGGTTTAAAATTCCTAATTATTTTTGGAATAATATTCAATAATTTTGATTGTAGTTGAATGTTCGTTTCAAAACATTTGTACATCTTGTAACAACGATTAAAAACATAATTATCCGTAAGTGTATCTGCATATTAATAACACAACACTAAATAATAGCACATAACCTGAGTTTAAAAGGCAATATTTTTAAGAGAAATTAGTAGCAAACAAATAACGATAACTAAATTTACGATAAAATTTCAATGCAAAGAAAAGAATTATGATTACGATAGGTAATACTTTCCAATCCTGAACAATTGCTATTTACTAACCCAAATAATGTTATCAATGTTATCATAAACGTAACTGCAGTGTTCTTTCTCCGTAAGCAATAGTCATTATTTTAATCATGACACCCCCACCTTATTTGTAATTAAAGGATACAGTTTACTAATTATTGGTGAATCAGTATTCAAATATTCGTTTAATTTTATCAACTTATCATTGTTTACATGAATTTATCTGAATTACTGTATGTAAAGGTCTATATATAACTAACTAGAAATGAGGGGATCAATCTTATTACTTAAAATTTTGCTCCTTTACTCATTGTTTATACACGTGAATACAAATTCTGTAGAAAATGAAACACTTAAAAAACGTATATCTTTAAAAAGTGAACCTGATTTTAATGTAAGACATTTAAACAAGCCTTTTAAAATAAATAAATTGAATTTGGTTTGGAGCAAAGCAAAACAGGTTGATTGCATAAATTATTGTTTTTTTTTTAACTTTATATTATTTTTAATTTTATTTGTTAAAATAACAGAAATGTTCTGAACCAGAATTACGATCATTATTGTCTGAAATGCGCATTCAAGATGAAGATGAGCGTGAACTTAAACTTTATAAATCAAAGAATATGGATAAAGATGGAGAAATGGAATCAATTGTAAGGAAAAAACTTTTAGGTATATTTTTTGATTATTCGAACTCTAATCAAATTATGGTAGACTTAAACAATTAGAAATTTAATTATTTATCTTAATTTTGATACTAAATTTTTATTTTAACTAGAAATTACATTTTACTACTTAAATTTTGTAGGTATTTTACAAAGATATAAGTTAAGCTATCACTTTGAAAATAATGAAGAACCACAAATCAATGAATCATATTTTGATATACAAGAACGAGTTCCAAAAGATTCCTCTATAGTTGTAGATAAATACTTATTACATGATAAACGCTTAAACCAATTATGGTCTCAAGCAAAACAATCAGGATTTACAAGTATTTTAAAAGAATTTCAACTAATTAATTTTATTTTGATATTAAAAAATATTAAAAAATATTAATTAATTTTATTTAAATGATTAATTATATTATAATTATATTTTCTAGGCATTGAACTTATAGCACTCAAAGAAGAATTCTTGGATCATCAAAAAAAGATAGATGAATATTATTCTTTAATTAATGAAGTTGAGCATATGCAGAATGATATACCAATAGGTTTGGGTTGTTTTTAGATTTAATTGTATACTTATTAATTCATTCTTTTTCTTCTTTTTCCTCGCCTTAATCCCAATTACTTGGGGTGGGCCATCCTTATCCTAAACTTCTATTTGACACGATCTCCCACATCATCTACGCTCACATCAGCTGTCCTCTTATCGCATTCAATAGCATCCCTCCATCTCTCTTTTGGTCTTCTTCCTTCAACATTCATTTCTATAACTGTTCTTACAGCTTAAGATTCTTCTCTCCTCATAACATGACCAAACATAACATAAGTCTATTTTCTCTCATCTTATCCATGATTGATACTACACCTATACTCCCTCTTATATATTCTTTCCTTATCCTATCTTCTCTAGTCACTCCACTCATCCATCTAGCATTCATACTTATTAATTTATTAATTTTATTAAAAATTTTAGCATTATCACAAAGAGGAATAAAAGATGATCACAACTCTTTGCATGATACTGATGATGTTTCTAAATTTAATATCAAACAAAGAGAACTTGAGTAAGTATTATGTCATATAACATTTTCTTAATTTAATTTTTTTAATTTTAGAAACCGCATTAGAGATATAAAAGATAGTTTTGATCGTCTTCATCGTTTATCATTAACTGGTCCTAACAGTAATGAATTTGTTGAACCCAAAGTTCAAGAAATTTGGCTCAAAGCTCAAAAATCTAATTTTGACAAAGATGAATTGGAATTATTACATGTACATTATTTTTTATATGGAAAACTGTGTTAAAACAGATCTATTAAAAATAAAATTATCTTTTAGGATGAATTAAAAGAATATGAACGCCGTTTATTAAAACTGCGACATTTAAATGTAGATTTGGCAGCTGGAAATGGAAATGAACATCCAGGTGGTGTTGAAAAAAAAATAAAAAAAGAATCTAGGAGTGTTCAAAAATTGCATAAAACAATTGAAGATAAAATAGCAAATAGAAAAGAAGAACTTTAATTTGTCTCATATTGAAAAATGTTGTGATATTTTATTATATATTTTTAGTGAAAGTATTGTGGGTAATTATTTTGTTTAATGTAATGCTTTGATGTATATATATATATAGTATGAGTCAAGGACATATGACAAATCCAATAACTTTTGATCCAATTATCATATTGTTGAAAATTTTTTTAAAAATAATTATTACCTTAAAGACTCAGCAATGACAATATCAAAATTTTGAAAAATATTTAAAAAAATTTAGTTTTCATTTTTTCTTATAAGTAATAAATAATAAAGAACATTGTCTAAAAATATAAAATTATTAAACATTTTTTTTAACAAAACGATTATTAGATCAAAAGTTATTGGATTTGTAATATATCCTCCTAGCTCACCTGCATATACAGTAATAAGTATATAAATAATTTGTATATATATTTTTTAATTTTATATTTCATAGCAACAATAAATTGTTATTTGTATAATAAAGTTATATCAAATGTTATAAATTTATTTTTAATGACCAAAATTAGAAAGATAAAAATATTAAAACAAAATTTGTCTGAAATTGAAGTAAAAAGTGCTGTTATCTATGCTATTAAACATAAAAATGTAGAACGATTAAAACAAAACTTTACAAAAAATAATATTAAGTATAGTTAGCATCAAAACTTATTATTTTTAGGTAAAACAAATTTACAAAGGAAATTTTGTAAGGGGTTTGTGCCATGGTTATGGTTTAATGATATGGCAAGAAATTGATATACTACAAATATATGAAGGTTATTTCTATGCTAATCTTATACATGGTTATGGTCGAATGATTTATCCTGATGGTTTAATTTTTGAGGTAAAAATTGTGTTGAATACCTTAACAGTTATTATTGGAAGCTTCAAGTTTTTACTATAATAGGGACTGTACAAAAACAATAAACGCTTTGGCCCTGGTGTTATGACACATACCAATCAAAATCAAGATGTAGGATTTTGGTTTAGTCATCGTTTGCTACGCTTAATTTCTGATTTTACTTCAAATATTGTACCATCATTCAATTTGACAAAAAATATTTCATATTTAAAACTATTAAAGTTTAAGAATCTCATAGATTTATCACAAGTTAGTGTAAAATATCTAAACTCATTTATATAATATAATTTATTTTTATTGTGGATAAAATAGGAGCCATATGCAATTATCAACTCATGGAAGTGTAATGAAATGAACTTCACTATTAACAATTCCTTATTATATTCCAAGGATTACCAAAGTTTATTTTTTGATATTAATTTTTTTAATGATAATTTTTCAAAAAATTTCAGTACATTTTTGAAAGAAGATGAAAAATTTACAGAAAAAAATAAATATAAGTTATGTGAACATTTTGATGATTTGATACAAAAATATTTTTTGGTATGAAATATTTTAGCATTAGATATTTAATAATAAGAAAACATTATTCAGTTGCTTGTGGCTTATGTATGATAAGCCCTACCCTACTCCTCCAAATTCTATCTTTAATTATTATTTATATCAAGGGTAGTTTTGGGCATAGGCTTTTATTTATATTTGTAGTATATTTTACAAGTTCTTAATTTATGAAGTTTCTTTTTTTTTGGATATTGAAAGTAATGCCTTAAACTAGTTTTACTTAGTAATTTTTAACATATTGTCGAGCAAAATCTGTTTTATAGAAGGTGAATATTTACATGGATAAATATGAAAATAATGTTGGAAATAATAGTCTCAGCTTTGATTTAAGCTAGTAAAATTTAATGAAAGTAAAATGAGCATTTTATTTTTGTGTAGCTCGAGATTTGTGTTTAATCATTTATATTTATACTGTTTTAATACATGATAACCTTATGCCTAGATAACACCCAAAGATGAACTACTACAATCAACAGAAAGTTATTTAGGGAAATGCAGCTTTAGATTTGGAGAATATGTGGAGTTTCTTAGCGCGAGCTCGTGGTCTCTCATTGTTAATGAAAATAGCGAGGCTTTTATAACAGGTGAAGAAGTTTCAAAAAAAACGCATATAGATAAATGGCATTCTAATATTTGTCCTTACATGTTGGCGTACAATAACAATACATTTGATAAAATGATATTGACCCATTCTTTTCAACAGAAATTTGCCGAGGTGGGTTTTCAATATGTGTTACCAAGGTTAAATAAAATTTAGTTATGTCACAATTGATTGTGTAGAGTCATTTGTTATTTAATGTAAATGACTTATGGGAAGGAAAAAGGAGCGCTTTTGCACCACCTAGCCATCAAGAGTTAGCATCAATACGTTTATTAACAGAGCTTGACTTGAGCCCAGACGATTTACGAACTCATATTGTCAAGTCTAATATCGAAGTCGACGTGGCTGATGGTCTTGGAAACACGCGATTTATGATTGCCGTTGTATGAAAATATTTAAAAAAAATTTGTGAAGATTTGAAGTTTTTGTTTATTTAACGATTACTATTTAGGCAAAAGATCAACATGAAATTATGCATTGCTTAATAGAACTTGGTGCTTACATAGAATGTTGCAATGATGATGGGTTTACTCCTTTAAATTTGTCATTGATGCGATACGTTTGTTTACTTAACGACATAAAAACTTGGAATGAATACGTAATTCCACATATTGATTTCAAATTTCAAATTCCAGAAGGTAAATTGATATTATTATGAAATTAATTTTTTTGTTTAATTTTATTAACTAATCTCTCAATGTACCCAAACATACCAATACCTCACTTTACTTATTTATCTATCTATCTTAATTATTATTATTTGGACAATGTGAAAAATATATAAATTAAATTTTAGGTTCTAAACATTGTTTTTTGCGAAATATACGAAAAATTAATTTTTTTAGTCCAGAAAATTTAGTAAATTTAAACGTAAGTATGTATAATTATGTATTATGTCTAGATTTTTCCTACCAACACGAAATATAAATATATGAGACTATTTCATGCCAATATTTTAACAACTAAATATAAATATTAAAAAAAAAGCACTTTTTGCTTTTGAATCTCAGTTTTTCTTTTTACTGTTAAGTAAAAATATATCTTAGTTTTTGATAAATGTTTGCAATGATTTTTAATTAATTAGTTTTTAGGAGATACGAGTGTCTCCATTTTAGAAAAATCAAATTGGAAAATAAATCATTCTGTCGTTGTCAAGTATGTTTTTTAAAAACTAATCTCAAGTCATTTACAAGTGTATAATTCTGACCATTAAACATAAATCTAACAAACGTGTACTGTTAAAATAGGTTAACTGTTTTGGAATTGATTGAGAAAACTATTTTGATTTTGATAAGTAAAGGAGCTCAAACAAATTCATGTTTTATTCCAAAAACTACTATTCATATGGCTTTATTGACATGCAATCCAAAAATTTTAGAAGCCGTTATTTTATCTCAAGGAGACATACATTATACATTAAGTGAAAATGTTAATATAAATATCTAAAAATTAAATTCGTACAATGTTCAATTTATAAAGTTTTTATTGTGTAAGATTTACTATTAAATAACAACTGTTTCTCATAGTTTAAAACATAATTTATTTAAAGTAGATATAAAGTTTTCAGAAAAAAATATTTTTTAAATTCTAAATACATAGCAATTATTAAATTTAAACAAATTTAATGAATTCATTTGTAAAGGAATGTAAATTGAATCTTTTGCACATGGCTGTTATCATGCCAATCAGTCACAATTCAGTTAAATGTGTTGAACTTTTAATCAAGTACAAAGTTGACCCTAATTATCTCTCTGTAGTAATTGATAGCTTATTAATATAAATCAATAAATATGTATTTATTCAAAATTTAATATTTTTAGCCCATTTATGAGATATTGAAATATGATTTACCGTGGAAAACTTATGCTAAATTAAATACTAACATGACAGCTTTGGATATTGTATGTTTGATGAAACGCAAACTCACACCAGACATTAGTAAAAATAGCTTAGTATACCAAATGGAAAAAGATTTAGCCGTGATGCTTTATGATGTAACTGACAAAAATCATAGTTTCTGTGGACTCAACGCCGTCGCTTTGGCTATGTTGACCGGAAAAAAAGAAATCGTGAAGGCGTTATTATTCAGAGATAATAAATTAGTAAATAAAGTGTTCAAAGGCCTAGGAAATTTGTTGTTTCTTCTGTTCAACCCGCAGTATAATATGAATTTATCGCCAACTCTACAAAATGATTTTCTTAATTTGTTATTGTACTTCAATGCTAACCCATTATTTGTAGTAAATTTAAAAGAGCAACAATTTCATGGAAATATATACGACTATCACTGTTTTCTGTTAGACTTAGAAAATAATATGCTAATTATTTAATTTTATAAGAAAGAACTTAGAGAAATTTATTATTTCAGTGAAAACAGAACATTATCTAGGACTTTATTAAATCAGGAATTTTCGACTGTTACAAATGTACACAAAAAAATTACGGATAAATTAAAAAGTAGTGGAAGATTATTATTAAACAAATTATACACGAATAAAGCTATAATTGTTTTATTGTAAGTAAAGAAAGCTGATATATATATATATAATTTAATAATCATTTTTTTTTTAAAGGATATCCTTTTATTTATTTATTTTTATAGATCGAGGATTTTAATATAGTAATACAAAATCTTAAATTTTAGGAATAGCTACAATCTTCACCGTGGTAGGAACTTGTCGAGTTATTATACAGCTATGATTCTCTGGATAGATTCTGGGTTTGAATTTATTTTGCATCAAATTTCAACACATCACATTTATTATGATAAACCATTGAAAACAGAGAATACCTTTGTATACTGAAAAATTTTAAATATTGATATTTTAAAAATAATCTAAAAGTATTTACTAGGCACAAGACAACTCTATAGTTTACCAGCAATATATAAGAACCTTATTTAAGGAAGTTATCAAAAATAATAAAACTTTAAGAAAAGTATGTTTTCATGCGAAGTATATTTAATAATAAATAGTGATTTAACTAACTCTATTAATAGTAATAAGAAATAATTAAAATTAAACAAAATAAAGTTGTAGAGGTATTAAGTTTTTTACCCACTTATTAAATTCGTTTTGATGAAGTATATAGACTATGGTAGTCTACATACCATAATCCAACCGTCCCTACTGTGCTAGATTTTTTGTTTTATTTTCATACTTCCTAAAGAGAATTACATTATCTTGTATAGGTGGTACTTAATGATATAATTCACTAATGAAACTGGAAACCCCGATACGTCTGAACTTTTGAAAGTTTAAAAAAAAACATTTTTTATAATGACCAAACGCAGACAATATTTTTGTGTAATTTATTACTTTGATTTAAAATTAATAAACAGCCATTTTTTTTTTTGTCAATATTCAATAGTTTTACTATTTAACAATAAAATTTTTGAAAAATTCCACTCTGAGTCATATATTTGTATACAATTTATAATATAAGATATATTTTAGTCGATCCTAACTGCATTTAAGCCACTGCTAAAGTTGGTTGCAGTGCAGGTATTTGTTAGGGCCGGACTAGGATGCTAATGGCCTAGGGGCACAATAATTGTGGTGTTCCAGATTTTTCCAAAAAATATTTGTACTGCTTTATAACTAAAACAATGAGCCAAAAAAAAATAAAATTATTTAAATTTAAATGTTTCAACAAATTAATGTTTTGATTTGTAAAAAACTGTTACAAACTGGATTACGCAATTATCGCTTTGTAGACTGCTTGCCCATGTGACCAGTCTGCCCCTGATATTTGTCTAGAACTTGAGGTTCTAAGGAACCTTTCAATTAAGAATTTTCCTAAGGCCTCATAAATTGTAACAATGGCTTTGTATATAGTACTTAATCCGTACAGTTTTTAATCTAATATGGGAATGATGTTCTCTTCAGGATGAAAGTAATGTATGTTACGAATGCTTAAAGCATACTGTTAAAAATATGAAAAAATGTTCGGTTTGTTATTTTGCTTTGCTTTGCACAAACGAATGTGAAAAAGAACATGAGTTCAGTAAATGTTTGGTTAAGATCAGAAAAAATTTAATAATAAAAATTCAAAATCAGTTCCCAATAAATAATGAGCTGAGGAAACAAGCAATACAACAAATAATACATCAGAATCGTTTAAATTCGACTTTATTTTCAATTTCAAAACAAATTTCAGGTAAGTTTTCAACAGTATACAATTTTTTATATCAAATTTTCAATAAAATATTCTGAACCACATTTAATAGTAAAGTGTTATGATAAACTTCAAAATAGAAAATATCAAATGATTCTACCTTCTACGTTATCGTCACCAATAAGTGCTGTTGAAGTGCTTTCTCTTGTTGATGTAAATTCTTTGACAAATTTATCAGGTGGAGTCTTAATAAAATGTTTTACTTCATATATATATTATGAAATTTTATTTAATGTTGACGAAGAATCGCATTATAAATTAGTATGAATTTTAATTAATTATAATCAATTAAAAATCATTAATGTTAACTAATAATTATGAGTTAACATAATAATGAAAAAAAAAATGCACAAAATATTAATTTTTAATTCATATTTGAGACACTTACCCTTCATATTTTTACACTTTAATACGTTGAATACTGTCAAAGTGGTAATATGTTTCATTAATTAAATATAATTCTTGCTATACCTCTAAATAATACAGAAATGACGTCAAATCTTTCCGATGAATATTATTCACAATCAAAAAATTTTTCAAATATTCAAAGTAAATCAAGTATTAAATACAATGATTACGAACAAAAAGAACGAATTGAACAATCCAGTAATTTGCTTAAAAACTAATTAAATGTGACAGTAACGTTATTAAAAGTGTTGTATTCATTTATCTGGTTACAATTAATTTTTTTTAGCCATTTCTGAACAAACAGATAATTTAACTATTGAACAACATAAAACATTACACGCAAGAGTTTTAGAGTTCCTGGAACAATGGAAAACAAATTACAAAAAACATTACTGGTCTATGAGACAAATGCGTGAAAAAACTTTAGAGTTATCTGATGTATCAGTACTTAAGTTTAAAACAAAACGGATGTCAGGCTGTAAAAGACCCATGCTGATGTTTCTGGACAATTTCTTAGATATAAATTCATCTGGAAGGCAAGAAATTCCTGATACAAAATTGTCATATTTGGCGATGACCAAAGAGAATATTATAGAGAATAATTTAGAAAATAAATGTCTAAATTTCATACATAACTATAGTCAGTTGTAATGTTATGCAGATTAAATATAAGTTATAAAACTAACAATTTTAATTTTATAAACACTTAAACTTTCAAATAAAAAAATTTATATGTAATAAATTAAATATTTCTTATAAATTAAAGAACAGTGTACCTAGTTTGAATATCTCTTAATTGGTAGTTCGATAAATAAATTCCGATTTATTCAAATGTTTACCTGATTTTAACTTATTATAACTAATTAATTTCATTACAGACAAAATTTATAGCTAAACTGCCCAAAAAATCGATTTTTTTTTTATTCAACAAAGGAGTACAGTTAGAATATATTTCAAGTTTTAATAAACAGAGTTCGTCTCAATTGACCACTCTTATATCGATGAACGATAACTAAAGTAAAGACATTCTTGAGAGTAGACCGTATCAATAAGTGTAATACACTGGTACGTGCTTCATTAATTTTTATAAGTAGGCATACAATGTGTAGCCTTGAATATACTATTTGTGTTAATCTATAGGAACGATGACCGGAAAAAAAATTTACTAGGAAAAGTATTATAAGTGAATTAAATATTTGTTAAAAGTTTTTATTTGAAAAAAAATATTAAACCTTGAATATGCACATTATTTATTACCATTTATGTCTATTTTACCCCAAATAATTAGGTTGGGCGCAAAGGGAGAAAAAGAAGGCTTATTTAGATTTTATATAGAGCTCGTCAAAATAACATATTAAATTTTACTTAGATGTTTATAATTTTAATATAATTAATAAAGAATTGTTATGATCTTAAAACACTATGCAAATTTGTTATAAACATTGCATTTTAATTTTTGATTAAAATACTAAGTAGTTATAGATTTTATTCAGTTATTTATTTTTAAGTAATATCATAATAGCTCAAAGATATCACAATAGACTTAAATTAATAATAATGTATATATGCTGTATTCATTTCAAATCGGCTAGTGTTTTTGATTCTATTAGTAATAGTAATCCCACTTTCACTTACTATTTACTATTCAAATAAACTTGAAATTCAAATTAATCCACAATTCGATAGAATTATATAATGTGTAACGGCTATAATTTATACTAACGTTCACTTTTTATTTTTATTATGATGTTTGCTATTTAAAGAAATACGTTTTATTGATTATTGTTGCTTTACTTATCAAAATAGTTATACATTTAATTTTTTTTATTTAAATTGCATTTGTTATTCTAAATGGTACGTTCATGTATTATTTAACATAGAAAAATCATAAGAGGTATCTCGAAACTTATGTTTATAAATTGCAATATTTATACTTTTAATAGTCCATGGTTCGCCAAAGTATAAACATATTTATGAAGTAAAAATTAAACTTAAGTGTATATGAACTGATTCATATGGCTGTCCACCCACATATTTTTCATTCGGCCTTCCGGTCAACTATTATTTTATTTAAATCGGCGTTCAATAGCGCGCGTACATGTACATAGTTAGTATACACTCATCTGTCTCATCCAAATAGATAAATAAAAACAATTGCACACCTATAAGCCATTTACAATGTATAGAGCGCATGCGTACGGTTTACCTGCGTCTCTACCTATTCCAAGGTTTAAACAACTGTTCTCGCCTACTCGCCACAAGTCGTTCTACTATAGTGCCGTGTTGTGTTAGACGTCCTTAGTACCTAATGAACAGCNCTATTCCGCCACAACTGTTCTCGCCTACTCGCCACAAGTCGTTCTACTATAGTGCCGTGTTGTGTTAGACGTCCTTAGTACCTAATGAACAGCCGTTTGATGAGCTCTGTCTGTCATCGGATTCCGCTTGTTTAGTATCGAGTTTTCCTTTAGTATTAAAATCGCTAGAAGTGTCTTAATGTTGTGTTAAGAAATATTGTATCCATATAGTTGTGTAGATTTTCGTGAATCAAATTGATTATATTATGTGAAATACGTGGATACCTCGGACTTAAATAGTAAAAAATTCGTTCGTTAAAGTCTCTTACTATGCTTGCCATGGCGAATTTAATTCATATCATATTTTTGTTTGGAATATGTATTTCGGTAAGTCATAATATCAATGTTTTACTATTTGCTATTCTTTATATTTTTGTTATCAAGTAAAATTTGAAACGGAACCAAACATGCTCAAATCCTAGAAAACTCGCCCTTTTATCCAGCCCCTTCATTAAATCTAATAATTAACTTGATAAAATGTAAAAAAACAATTTTTTTCTCATATTCATTTATGTTTTTTGTGAATGGATTTATAAACTGGAATTCGCATGAGAAGTTTTTCCATATCTTGCGTAATACCATAAAATTTGTCTACTATCACATTCATTTTCCAAGGGACGTAATATGGTTTCCCTAAAAATTGTCATTTTTGTCATCTTTCTTAAGTAATGGGGTAAGATGATGAATACCATTGTTTAACTTTTTAACCAGAATTATTCTAAGAGAAATAGGTTTCATATGAATCTATAGATACTTTCAGTTTATTCAAGAGAGTAAGTTGAAAAATCTACTTTAGATTGCTAATACCTAAAATTTTGATTTTCAAAAATTACATCAAAAAAATATATTAAAAATTAATTTTTTACCACAACTAAAAACAACGTAAGCGCTTATGTGTTAATCTAATGAGTAGCAATGTGTACTCAATAAGCTATTATGTTAGAAAGGATGTGATGTTATGTATGATTGACTTTAAGAAATACTGAATTCGTCATCTTTTCCCATTCGTCAATTTATCATTACGGTAGTTGTCTGGCTTGATAACAGTGCTCTGTTTATTCCCTAAAATACTAGTACAATAATAGAATTTATTGTTTGACTTATTTCAGCATATGAACTGAATTTTGTTGATATTTGATATAGAACTTACCGATACTGTAATTAAATTAGTAATCCAATTGTAGGCTAGCCTTCATTAACATAGAAAATATCTATTTTTAGTAGTTAAAATGATACCAGATTTTTTGATATGGGGTAAATAAGTAATAATTTTGAAATTAAATAATGAAAATAAAATTAATTTACATCAAGCGTTAATATTAATTGTGATGAGTATTAATTTCAAGTTAGGGAGATAAATATGGTCATAGAATTTTATTTACTTACAGGGGCGAATTTGAAAGAAAAATGTTTGTGTGATTTCTTAATTCTGTCGGATAATTTTTAGTTCATTTTAAGGAGATGGAAATTTTTTATATTACATTAATTATTAGTATGCAATTTCCTGGTGAATCAAAATGTATAAATTTGCCTCTGTTTACTAAAATAGAAAAAAGCATTATGAATATCATTTTCATTTGTAATTTCCACAATCGTTTACTTATTGAATATAAACTACCATTCGAAGTAGACTATCTTAATGATTCAATGTAAAGCTATTTCTGTATGCAATTTTTTGAAACGAAAAGTTAATAAATCAAAAATTGTACAAAACAATCAACAACTAAGCGTAAAATGATATTAGACATGGAGTAAATGCATACATTTATTTATATGTATTAAAAAAATTTAATTTATAAACTTATTTACACATCTCTTGAAATAAAAAGAAGTATAAAATAATAAAATGATATCAAAGATTTATTTCCTATTTAAATCTTACCATGTACATAAATATCATCTTTATTGATGACCCTGTACGGATTCAAACGGATCTAAAAATGGTAAAACATAAAATAAACACGTATAATTTATACCAGTACTAAAAAGAGATTATACAATATATAATCTATTTTAATATAATATACACTGAAATATTACAATTTATGTGAAATAGTAGTTGTTTTTTTCAAGTTCATGGTAAATAAGTAACAATTTTTCCATAATAGTATCAATTTTATTTTTACCATTTTAGTATAATTAAAAAATTCACATTTTTCACTCAATTATAATTTCGAATGAACAAGGCAATACTGTATTAAACAAATGTTGATTAAGTTTGATTTGTAAAATTAATTGATTATGAACTGCTGGTGGTAATTATTATAATTCATATGACAGTATTATAATAATATAATAACAAGGTTAATTTTGCAATAATTTAGTAAATCAAAGCTGTTTGAAACTGGTGACATTTTATACTGCGCATACAAAGGTAAGACAAATATATAAAGAAATTGTCAAGGAAGGATTGTAAACTTAGGAACGGGATATAGAGTGGAACCACAAAATTAGTGTATTACATGATTTAGCTTTGCAAATATACTATGACTAACGTTTAGTAATCAAACAATTTAATATAATTTAATAAGTATAAATTCAAAAAAATTAAAGTGTTAGTGGTATATGCGAGTGTTAGCGTTCATTTTTCATTCAATTAATAAAAGAGAATAGCATAATAATAAAATTCTCTGTGTCCAAATCCATCAAAGCAATATTCGTAAATATTTAATTTTATATTTCAATGCCAACCAATGTAATGACTTTAAAAATGATTTAACTTTCAGTTCTAACTACTGTGTGCATAAAATAATTATCAATAGTTTAATTTATTTTTTCGTCTTATTAAAGAAGTATTTTAATACAAGAATATTAAAAATGCACAATGATATAAACTGCTAAATAATTATTGCAATGCACTTCAATTATTTAAAAGCATACAAAAAAACGCATAAAAATCACTAATTATCATATAAAACATCAGGTTTATGTATACTTTATAGTTTGCAAAAACTCTAAGATTTAATTTTTTTAACTTTTCTCTACATTACCATTAATTAAAATCCTCAAATCCAACGTTTACTTATATTTCTCACATTTAAAACTAATCATTAATTTGAAATAGAAATTTAAATTTAAAATGTAGCAAAAATAAAAAATCTAAGTATTCAGTAATTTACAGTTTTTTTTTGTCGCCATTGTACCTAAAAGATTTAAACTCGTAACATAGACAATTTTTTAACATTTATTATTTTTAATTATTACAGTTATGCCTAGATAATATATTAAGTATTATATAATACGACAAATAAACAGGACATTTGTTTAATATGCTGTGTGATTGGTATTAGGCGGAATTATTAATGATTATATGAATAACTTAGTCATCGTAAACTAGCATAGGCAATAAATACATCTGAAATTACCATTTCAAATTTTATTTGAAGACTTTTCTTTATAGATAATTATTAATGATCGGTTGAATTCTTATAGATTGTCGCAAACAATTAATTCATAACTACATGGGTCCTAAGAAATTAAAATTAAATCATTTTATGCGATTAAGAATATTGTTTCCAATAGGTTTAAATCAAGTAAACAAAATTTTACAGTTATATTTTTCTTTTAAATATGTTTTAACGATTTAGTACATGAATATTTGTTTGTTTTGCAATAACTACCGTCCTCGAAAATGATTAAGGTTGATTTAATTTTTTTTACTAGAACAGGAAACCACATTCATAATTGTACGCGATTACTAATGATATACATTTAGACGGGAAATCACAAAATTGTAGTGTATTGCAAGGAAAATTAATGATTATACTATTGCAGATCGAAAAACGTTTTATTTTTTTGCTCTCTGTAAGCACATGCTCAGATATTTTTACTACGACGGTTGCACTAACAAATATGACTCGTTTACCATCAATAGACCACCACACGTATCGATGCATGTAATCACGTAATTGTAAAAGAGTAAACATACATTTTATGATTCTCATGAAAAATAATAACGAACTCTTTGTACTCGTGTAGCGGCATTAGTCGTCACTATTAACAACGTCAGAATTCCGGATGAGTAAGAATTATGTCAAAATCGTAATAATGTTATTATTAAAAATGTGGTTCCGTGTAATTCGTTTCTGTTGCCTGCGACTTGGCCATTCGTCTAAAATTACCAATACTATACGTCACTGAAAAAATGTGTCAACTTTAGTTTTCATAATCTTATTTAGTTTTATTTGAAAGTAAAAAATGTCTTAGAATATTTCCAAGTCCCACACGTACGCTTCTTTATAGTACTTTATCTCGATCACGTGTCGTACCTCCCCAATTTTCCTTCATCAGCTTTCTCTTAAGATTTTAATCTCGCCGCTCTTTCAGTTTCGTTATCTCTGAGTTATTTTGTGTCGTTTTTTCTCGATATTTCTTTTTTATGGTCAAATGTTATTAAAAAATCCATTTTAGTTCAAACTAAATCATGAGTGATTCAAATACATTTCTAAGATTCTGTATTTTCCACTCCTATAAATATATATATAAACTTGTCACAAAATCGTTTATCGATACTATACCAAAAACTTGATACTGACTGTAATACTTCTAAGAGAAGTTCAATTATCTGAGTACTAAATTGTGTCAGATATTTAGCACCTGCTCGGCCGGATTCATCAATAAAAACATTAAGCGTGACGATGTAATGAATAGTTTATGTAGCTTTTTTATTTGACCTCTAAAAAATGTGTCTTTTGGGAGGAATATAATTTTAATTATTACCAATGAACTAAATGGTATTATGATTGTACTTTAGTATAATTAACATTCTCTATTAATTCATGTGTTCATTATAATATGTGATCAATTAATTGATGAGTATAAAGCAACTTATTACATCTAAGTATCATATAGTGACAACTTCAAATCATAATAGTTTAAAAGTAAAAGAAACAATCGGTACAAATAATTTGTTTATAGTTAATTTTATTTTCTGATTTTATAAAAAAATAATGAAATCTGGTTAAAAATACCAAAAATAATAACTAAAAGTTTGGCTTACGCATATTCCTAAAAATAATTCTTATTCTACTATTGACTTTTGTTTTACAGGCATACTATGACTCATATTTATAATAAGTAATGTAAGGACTAATGTAAGGACTAATGTACAGACGCCGTACAAATAATTTTTAACTTACGATAGACAATGCTATGCCTATCGGATTGAATTCTTGTAAGAAATGCTTTGACTTCATAATTAGGGCATAATTATGGTGGTGGGCTGTGAAACATTCTCTTATAAATATATATCTTTNCAGACGCCGTACAAATAATTTTTAACTTACGATAGACAATGCTATGCCTATCGGATTGAATTATTGTAAGAA